TTGGTTAAGCTGAGACAGAACAAGGCCAGCTGTCAGACTGCATATATGCTCTCACTGATCTCACAATCCAATGTACAACAACAGAGCATGCAGAGCACCCTGCATGAATGCTCCCACTGCTCTCACTGCGCTGTCAGATTGCACAGAGCAGACAGATCACCAGGTAGACATGTTTAGTATATAGCATGTAGGAACACAACCCTTATGGTTCGTGTTCAACCTTGTCAATTAAGTTTGTCATTGGATCTCAACCAACCTTTGAGCTAGACAGATTGCCTGTACTACTCATTGTTACCCCAAGCCGTTGTTAGGTGTTTCACCCAGGCGACTTACCCCTACTGTTCCAGAGCCAGAGTTCATCCTCGAGAACCAATCGAATAGTGCTTACGAGCTTTGCTTAAAGTACGACTTCAACAGGTTGGTTGAGATTCCAATGACAAACTTGATTGACTAGGTTGAACACAAACCATAAGGGTTGTGTCCTATGTGCTTATATACAGTTGTGAGAGGGGGCCAGCTGGGGATACCAACTGCTCTGCTCTCTGAGATGGATGAATAGGGGGAAGGAAGGTTCAGGCTTGTTAGAGGTAAGGGGGTGGAAGAGACCAAGTGTGGGAATACCACAAGTGGTAGAAGGGATAAATAATAAAGAAGGGATCAAGTGTAGGAATACCACAAAGGATCAGTGAGGAGTGAGTTGAGGAATGAAGTTGAAGTATTGAATTGAGTTGCAAGCATGAGTGAGAACTATCTAGAGGTGGGACTTGTCAAGCTCATGGTGCGCTGAACTCCTCCAGCCTATGTCTACCTTTCAAACATTGTCCATTCCAAATCCAGATACCCTCGAATGTATGCAAGATGGTAAAAGTGTTCTTGAGGTCTTTCAAACCCCATATTTCCTTTGAAGGCTCAGGAACGGACATTTTGATTCCCAAGATTGACACGCTGGCGAGACGCTAGCAGTACACTGACTTCCTCCCGGTTGACTCTACCCTACCCAGAGGTAGAAAAACGACATTACGGTTCTCGGAGACATAGGAGGTGGAAAGGTGATGGATGTCGAGTTGCACATGCCACAAGTTCGTCAAGTCATGTGCTAGCGCGATTGAACCCTTGCTCGACACGCGCGAAGTGGCGTTCGTCATCGTTCACGAACATTCCACTCCTCGTCACCGCCGCTGCTTGCAACAACCACTACAAAGCCCCATAAGTCTAGAGGCTCTGCGCAACAACACAATAACCAGACTTTCGCATCCACAATTTCCGACTCCGTAAATTTATAAAAAGTAGCATCTCTGACTAAATTGCGTGGTCAAACATACAAACGTCAAGATGGATGTGCAGCTTTACGTATACGACCTCTCACAGGTAGGTTCTCATTCATGCGCTGAAATGAGACATGATTTCCATGTACGAAGACTCAACTCTGACACGATCAGGGTCTTGCACGTAGCATGTCACGACAGTTTCTTGGAATCCAGATAGACGCCGTTTACCACACCTCGATCGTTCTCGAAGGCATCGAATATTACTATGGTGGAGGCATACAGACATGTCGAGCTGGCACTACACATCACGGCCGACCTATGGAAATAGTCAAACTGGGGCAGACGTCCTTGCCGCTTGAGGTCATACTGGAGTACTTGGAATCACTGAAGACGATATACACAACGGAGGTACGTGCTGTGTTTCATTGTTCTACAGGAAGGCACTGACAGATTACAGTCCTACGATCTGTTTCTGCACAATTGCAACAACTTCTCGAACGACTTCGCGATGTTCCTCGTTGGCAAGGGCATACCCGCACACATCACCAGTCTGCCGCAAGACGTCCTCAACACACCGTTTGGCCAGATGCTCAGGCCTCAGCTCGATTCCATGATGCGACCCATCACACAAGCACCCACACCGCAGCCCGTACAGCCTGTTGCCCGGGCACGAGCGCCCGCCGCTTCAAATACGACCAATGGCGCAGTAAGCAATGGCAACGCTCTTGCAGAATACACAGGACGAGTCAACAACGTCACTGCGATCAAGGAGGTTGATCGGCTGCTGGAGCTGGGCAAGGATCGTTGTGTCATCATTTTCTTCACCAGCGCAACATGTGGTCCCTGCAAGCTTGTGTACCAACCCTACGATGATCTTGCTGTGGAGGCGGGCTCGAAGAGTGTCTTCATCAAGATCGATTTCACACGCGCAGACGCCTCCATTAACACGCGCTTTCCGAATGTCAGAGCAACGCCGACGTTCATCACTTACAGCAAAGGAGCCAAGCGAGAGGAGTGGAGCGGAGCCGACCCCCGACAGCTGCGCAGTAACGTCGAGTCATTGCTGAACGCGACCTTCCCGCCACACCCGCATCTTTCGCAAAGCACACCGCATCTGTTGCGTCAAAGTCAGCAACCGATCACATTCACGAAAGTACCTCCACTCGACAAGGTGGTTGCAAAGATGGGCGATGCTGGCAAAGATCCCGTAGTATCATCGATCGTCTCCTTCATCAACGCTCGCGAGAAGTCTGGAGCGATGGAGGCACCCTTGACGCAATTGCCGCAGTTCGCCGGGTTTCTAAGGAAGAGCACAACTCGGCTTCCCCCAGAACTTCTTTTCACAGCATATGACTTACTTAGAGTCGCACTCATAGACGTCCGTGTCGCTGGGTTCTTCGCTGAAGAGCACAAAGGTGCCACTGGTATACCAGCAACCGTCCACCACCTGCTCAGTCACGTCGAAGGGTTGAGCGAATCGGCACCATACCCACTGCGTCTCACAACTTTGCACCTTGCATGCAATCTCTTCAACTCTCCGCTCTTCGTCCCCCACCTATCCTCACCGCCGCTATCTTCGACTCTCATCTCCATCCTTACAACCTCACTCCTGGACGACAAATACCCAGCGCTCAAGGCCTCAGCACTCAGTCTAGCAATGAATCTTGCGTCTTCGAACCACCAGATCCGTATGAAGAAGTACGGCGGCTACGTCGCACACACGCTCCCATCTGCGTCTGAGCTCCAGGACTCTGAACAGACTGAACTGCTTGCATCGCTGCTGGAGACACTGGGGATTGAAGAAGAGTGGAGTGAGAAGAAGAAGATAGCGCTCATTACCACGGGCTGGCTGGCCTATGGCGCGGATATGGACGGGGAATTGAGAGATCTATGGCGCGTTATGGACGCTGCTGGGACGGTTGGCAAGATTCAGGCAAAGGTTGCTGAAGACAGGCTGCTGGTGAAGGAAGTGCAGAAGCTTTTGGATGCATAGAGCATACACAGATACTCCAGCATTGCATCTAGACTTTCTACTCGCGCCCTGCTGCATGGTCGTTTGCCTTTTACTAACTGTACACTGCTCACTTCACCATACCACGCAAAAATAGCGATCTCCCAGGATTCAAACCTGGAGCGTTACAAACATGAATCCAACTTCATTGATGCAATCCTTTTTCACTTGAAGCTGGAAGCAACACCATACCATCGCGCGACATTGTTGAATGACTCAGCACGACGTCGAAAGTGGGCATACTGATGGAAGTGGGTGGTAATGGTGTAGTATTCGGTGCGTGAGAGGAGCTCATTATATGGACATGGACGCTAGTACTATCACGTAATGGCGATTGGCGGGAAACCTTCACCTTGTCCTCCGACACAGCCCTCTATAATCGTAAGGACCTCGACCTCGACCTTCTTAGTCTGGTGTCACTTCATACAACTGAGCCTAGACTCCACCAAGCCTCCATTGCGAACTTCCGTTGGTTGATCGAGAACCAGTCGTATCAAGCCACTAAGCTCTGTTGGATCGGGAGTAACATCGTGCGCCTGTTTAAAGGAGAAGACGATTTCGAGTCCATGTTTGAATTGTCTTGAAGGAGATGATTCTGCCAGCATGTGAACAATGAATGCATTATGTCAAGATTCCGCCCCGCTGAATACTTGGACGGCAACGTTCGTACGGCTGTCAATAAAACAGGCAGGAGACCGAGCGACTGGCCTCCCGAATGGTCTTCGCCAATGAATCCTATATGTGTGCCCACGGGAGCAGCGTGCGAGCTCTGCTTGTCGACATCAATCTGTGGATGTCTACCGATCAAGTTCGATCGATATCGAATCGCACAAGCTCCGGACAAGAGGTGTTCGCTAGCGGTCCGTTGCAGTGTTTGCCAACGGCCCGCTGCACTGATAGTCCAGCTCATTCGGTTAGTTCGGTTTGCTTCCCCAACTCTTCACTGCTATCCCCTTCTACTATATAGCCTCGATAGATTCCAGCCAATAGCTCTCTAGATCAATCAAATCAACTATCTCAACCTTTCCACAAGAGGCGATGGGTCAGAGCAACATCTGACCGATCCGGTGGACTGGCCTGCAGCGAGAAACAACTTATAGGTGGGTATGTTGCGGATATTGTGGGACTCGAATGAAGAGGCGATAAGACCATTGCCGTTCGACTGACTGATTTGGTTACGCAACCTCCCGTATACCAGATCGCAGCCGGCCGTATCGAAGACTGGGTTCGTTTGGTAAGTAATGCACGTGTCTCAACGGCAAACGTGGTCTCTAGGGGTAGAGTAGTTGCGGGCCAATCCTGATAGCTTCTTTATTCTCGAGCACCTGTTATGGACGGAGTGCAAATTGTTGAGGTAAAAGTGTATTGATTGGGAGATGGAGGATCTCCAATGTTTGGAAAGTATATGTACTAGTAAAGCTAGGTGGCAGGTACAAGCCATGTCATAGTACCTCCTTCTGGTACAAAGATAACCTCTTCCAACACACATCACAGCTACATATCATTTGTTGTTCGAGAACGTTTGTCATTGCCCAAATTGTATCGGTGCCAGGCAAAATGTATGCACCCCGTGTGAGTTTGGCTCACCAACATCAGGCCTACGTCATAGGCAAGCGAAGGCCCACCGACTGGCTGGCTGGAAGTGGTAAATGATGAAGGTGACAGCCTGGGTGACATAATCCAGGGCAAAACGTGAGATATCTTAGGGCACTATTAAAGACAGCCATTTATCTGCCTGTCCGCACACCTTTTCCACAGTATCGGTGCTTGCAAAAATGTACAGACCCCCTGACCCTGGTACAGTGATGCGTACAGTAGGTACGTACCGTGGTTCATGAAGGCGGACAGCCCTGTGAGTGGCCGTTCACCACGTTGTTGCCCTGCAGGACATGTACCAGACTGTCAATTCTGTCAACCAAGGTAGAAACTGTCAATGGGGGGAGAATGTGAGTAGAATCATAATGTGTTAACAGCTATCTACGTATTGTTTATCTACCTGGAGACAAGCTGTGGGCGCTAGCCGGAAAGAGAAAGGCGCGGAACCTATGAGAGGCAGGAGGCAGTGAAGGTGCCTGGCTGACAGAAACAGCCACTTAGAAGCCTTCATTATTACATAACTTAAGTCTGTCGCAGTATTAAACCAAGTTCAAGGGGGTCTGTACATTTCTGAAACCACTATACACTGAGCTATACATGTGGGATAGACATCACTGTGCCGAATTTGAGGGCGTGCATACATTTCCGCAACGATAATACAAAACACGACTGACCTTACCAGAATGGCTTGTGAGTCTCGGCATGTCTGACAACTCAATTTTGAGGCATTCACCTTCAGTGCTAACAAAGATATGATGAGCGCCATGTGCCCCTTTGGCCCCACTCCATCTTCGCCCAGCGCCTCGCAACCATCTCTCTCCACACCATCAAAATAGAATGAAATGTAGTAATTCTAAAATTACACAACATCTCATGCCCAGCCAACCAAGCCTAGAATGTCAGCTACAGCGACTCCTGGCGGAAATACGTATGGTTCTCTCGGAACAGCGAGATGCGGCCGAACTTCACAAACCCACAGAGAATTGGATTTTCATCGGCCCCATCTTCACTCATACTGACAAATCACTCAGCTAGGAGGCAGTCAGCGAGCCCAACTTGTTCAGGATGTTGCCGGATGGTGAGGAAGCTGCTGAGCTGGTTGTGCTCGAGCAGCATGTGTTAAAACAGCCTCACACTAGATCAGCTTTGGAAGATCCGGCAGCACTCGATGTCTTTAGATGCTACCCAGGAGTGGTTCAGTGGCTTGCGGATGTGCGGACGTGAACATAAAGACGTCTTGAACAGGAAATACCTGTTTTGAGATTTCTCATGGTTGACTCTGTGCATGAATGGCGAGTTTGCTAGTACAGTTGCTCGTCGCGGTTCGAAAATCGGGGCGGTCTTCAGATGCGTTTGAAGGTCGAGCCTTAGGAAGGGACTTGATCAGAGAAAGCTATCTGCTGGATGATGTTCGAACAGGGGGCTCGACAACGTCTGGCCCGACTTTGATGCGCCTGGTGGCCCGATCGTCACTGCCATCTTCGTCGTCGACAGCGTGCTAACTTATTGCATTGCCTGACAGGTGCTCAGCGGGCACTCTGCTGGCGAAATTATCACCTCCTCCAGGCTTCAGGTTCGACTGAGCAGCTGTTAGGATAACTGCAGCAATGTCAGCGCACCACAGCTGCACATTTACTTCTGATTCTGTGGTGGTGGCAAGACGTCAGGATCGAGGTTGTGGCGTGGAGATTTGGGTCAAAGGAGAGATAGTGTGGCACGGAACGCGCCATCATGGTTGTGAAGTTGTTCGGTCGCATCGGTGGGGTGTAGCTGCATAAAGTACTGCAGCTCAACATAGACGCGGTTCCTCAGGGCGCAGTGGTCAAGCCATTGAAGCTTCAATGCTCGCGTGTCCCTGGAGTAGTCATTTGAATGATGATGTTTCCAGGCTTGCACAAAATAACTTACGTGCTGTGCAGTGAACAAACAGCATAAGACTTAAAGAGAGAGAGAGTGGGAGAGAGAGAGAGAGAGAGAGAGAGAGAGAAATGAGGTCGGGGGGACTGCCTTCAGCAATTAGTAGCGAGGGAAATGAGTCAAAGTGTGGTAGACTGAAAGAAGGGGAGTCAAAGTGCGGTGGGATGCGACGGGGAGGATAGAGACAAAACGATCAAGGTGTGCTTTGGTCGAAACAGCAGCCCAACGTTGACGCGCTAACGTTGAGAGAGTAGCTACGCTCTGAGCACGACGGATTGACCCTGGCGCTTCTCAGTCTCCAAAATCTCGTCCAACTCTTGCGAAGCACGTGGTGCTGTGGCACTGCCGCTTCATGAGAATCATCGCGTCATCGGACGCGGTCTCGATCTTATATATCTCGTCGTCGAGCTCGCACGCCTTCACGTGAAGGAAAACGTATTAATGTACCGAAGAGCAGAGTGGCTGACAGAATGGCATCGAAGATCCCACTGGTCTACACAACAACATTCCGGATCCGTTGGGTGGTGTTGTGTCACCGGACAGATTCAACAGTTCGGTAGTAAGGTAAATCACGAGTGTTCAACTCAGTCTCACAGAATCAGAACAATTTGTATCCTTCAACGTATTTATAGGCAAAAGGAGGTGAGGCGAATCTACATTGACTGCCTCCGAAAACGTGGCGATCGCAACAAAGTCGTGCTCCACTACGGAACAAAATCGGAAAGACGGCAGGAACGAAATCTACAAAGGTTCATCTCAGTCTGAAGGTTTTGGGTCAATACGTATTCTCCAAATACCTACCATCTGAAAGAAATCATGCGAATCTGTCCTGACTGCCTCCCACGATCTGGCGAATCGCGGTTGCTGAGGAGCACAACTGGGAGCTCTGACCTTCCACGAATTAGTCAAGAGCATTGTTTGTCGTGTTCTCAACCGCACGCGAAGAAATGACGCCTGATATTTATGCACATATCCCTTCTCAAGGTAGAGGCCAGCCCCGTCCACTGTCCGGCCGTCGCAAGAGTTCAGTACCAGACCCGACGCTCCCTGGCCGTGTTATAGGCACAGAGACTGACCAGTCTTTTCTTTCCGTCCCTCCACTCGTAACTGTAGCCGTGCTTCCCAGTCGACTCGCTCTCAGTGGCGGAGACCCAATGTCTTGCACACTCACTCGCCGACTCCTTGGCCACGGCGATAGTGGCATATGGACCCCATCACGAGAGAAGGAGATGTTGCGACTGAATTTGCGGATGCGAGCTGGCGTCGTCGAGACAACAAGGGATGTTAAGAACGGCAGATTGGCGAAAACGATGAGGAGAGTGGTCTCGTAGGTGTAATAGAAGAGATATGCACGTGAAGTTGGCTCCGTGAGTACGAAGTATCGTGCGAGAATGCCGAAGATGAGCGTCAAAACGCCGGTGACCAAAAGGATGGCAAGCAGCAAACGTCGTGGTGTTGGGATGAACGATATTGGGAGGATGAGCACGATGACAGTTGTTAGGGTGCTGAACGTTAGAGACACGATTGTGTGGCTATGGTAGGTCGAGCATTGCGAGTCGTCCAGATGTGTCGGCTGGCACCAAGATAAGAGTGAAATTTGGGTGATGATGAAAGAGAGCGCGCAGATTGCTGAAACGACTTGTATGTAGCGTCTTCGAAGGATACTGGATGCAACTGGGCTATCTGGGTCAGTGAGACTTACCGCCATACAAGAGATGTAAACTTACAAGATCCGCCAGTACAATATTAAGAGACATACTTTCACAAGCCACGCTATGACGATCTGGAGCTCTTCGAGTACATATCGATATCTACGCTGTTTTTCTGTTCCAAAGTTGGCGGCCGGAACTGCGAGAATGGTAGATGCCGTCAATGGCAGCAGAAGGAAGACCATGATCCAGTCATCCGCCTGCAAGTCTGCAAAAGACTTGAGCATAATACGTCGAAACGTCAGTCTTGCGAATATGACTGCGACAGCTAATGCGTAGAATGTCCATGACTGGATTAGAAACGAAGAAATTGTGTCCATGTTAAACACGAACGAGGAGACGAGTATTCGACACGACAATAAGAATGATGGGAAAGAAGATCAGATAGTAATACGACGATTGAGAAGCAAAAGACATGACGAATGACGGAATTATGAGTAGAAGCTAATAGATCTGGACGGCAATTGAACAGCAACTACGGGTAGATATTGCGTTCTTCCACCCGCCGAGCACGTTCTGTGCTACTCTGGTATATCGACACGGCCTTCCTCATGTCTCAGACAAGCAAAAGCACAGCCCACGCAGTCGATCGTGCACAAAGACGCGGGGTGAAAACTTTCCGGGCTAAGGTATGGTGGTCATCTGCACGCAGTCCCGAAGGAGGGGTTACGCTACCCTCTCTCGTCCGAGAGGCTGTGATAGGAAGGTAATCATGTCCGTAGCGGACTAGATATCTGGACATGGGACTACAGGGCACCGGCGTTTTGGATGAGTGCGGGAGGGAAGCGACGCAGCGCTGCAGGTCGTGCCTGGACATTGGAAGCCTAGGCTAGGCGGTCTCAACCCCCAACAAATACCACTCTTTCATCATCACGACAAGAACCGCGGCGAAGGCGGTATTGGACGCCAGCCTTGGCTCTGATTGTTCCTGATCCTGATCGACGACACGAATTTAGGCGACGACAGGGATCAACGTCTCGCTTCTCACCTCAGCTACGGACCCAACGAGTACATACATCATGCCCACGCGTAGCCGCTTTCTCGGTGGAGATTTTCGATAGATCAGCATGCACGCAGCTTTCAACCCTGCTTAGTCCACGGCTAGAAGACATGAGTTGACATTGGATGTTCAACAAGAGATGGGACCGTGAGGACAGCGGTACCTTGTTGTCAGGGCGATGGTGCGTGGAAAAGCAAAAGTGACAGCAGCTCAAACTTTGGTACGCGGTACCGGGAGCGCAAGCCTGCATACGAGGTTCACAACACTCTTTCCAGAGACAAAACACGTTCAACAACTCAGGCAAAGACGTTCCTGCAACGAGAGTTGCTATGTCATTGGAAGAAGGCGTGGTCCGCGCCCATTCTCCTGGGACAGCTCGCTTCATGACGCTCCGGCCCGGCCCCACGAGACAACAATTTCCCGGTCTCTATCTTCTTGACTTACCCCACGGAGCGCTATCAGTCCAGATTGGGACGGGCCACCTTAGTCACTGCAGCCAGCCTGGACGCCACACATGTTATCGTCGTACAATCAGGCCCTGCAGGGTCAAGTTCAAGGATGTATTCCAGATCAGGCAGTGCAAGCAATACCGACACTTTCTTCGAGAGAAAGCAAACCACAACTTGAGAGTGATCGAAAGGTCCTTGGCTCACGTCAGGATAAGCACTGCAACAAACATAATAAAGACTGCCATATGATCCTATCAAGCGAAGGCCCACCTGTACGAGCTACTCAATTCAATAGACTGGGATCGTACGCCGACCCCTGCACCTGCGGCAGAAGTCGCTTCTCCTTCGAGCATCCACTCGCATGTATGAGATTTGAATTTCCATTGGACACGTGGGAGGCAGACCGATATTTCGCAGACTTCTCAGGAAACAGACCATGATCTTGCAGTTGCAATGATGCAGTGCCTCCAGATCCACGCATCGGACGTACTTGCTGCAGCATGCAAGATCGAGGGGTACTTACACCCTATCATCCAGCCTCGTTCTTACGCGAGGCTCATGTCGGCACATAATGATATGCTGAAACGTAGTCGGTTGCTGCAGCACTGCCACGTCGGGAGGCCGCGCCACCAATAGGTCGCACCTGCTGGACGTCCCCTAGTCGGGCATACTACAGTTCACCTGGTCGTTGAATACCCACACGTAAGGATCCACAAATGTAAGGCACGCTACAATTCAGTCAAACCAACGCGCAACAGGTATGTGAACATATACGTAGCATATTGATTTTATCCTAAAATCACTGAAGAACTGTTATGTATCCAGAATGCAGCATAGATTAAATGACGAAGTCTGATACATCTGTCGGCACCCCGTCTCTGCGCCTGCAGCAGACAATGCACATCCGTCCACTGAAGCATCACTGCCAGGCGCTGTACACACGAAGCCGTCACTGAACTCTCACTGCCGTTTGCGAACGCGGCCAGCGCCTCCTGCCTTTTCAAGATGCACATCTATATGAGTAGTCTCAACACACTAACTGTGATTCTCGAGTGCTATATAATTTTCGTAGCTGCCGTGCTACCACACCAACCTACAGACTCCAACGAGAAGCTAAGAACGATGGCAGCAAGCGGAAGCACAACCCGAAACCACACGCGACATCTGAAAAGGGATGCCAACACAATCGCAAGCATCACTTGACAGCGACCCTGAACGAATTTAACCGCGATGTGAGCCACGCTGCCTAACAGCATACGTGAGCTTGGGCTTGTGTCGAAGCATCTCTCGGTGGGACGGCCGAAGCTCGCAAGCAGTCTCGCAGGGGAGAGATCATATTGTCACGGACTACACGTGGATACTAGGAGAAGCCGAGAGCTGTACGTGCGCACACGGCCACAGCATGTCGATAGCCGCTGAGTGTGGGTCTCACAATACATGTACCTGCATGCAAGTCTATTGATCCCACATCCCGTGCCGCTGGTGCAGCACTGCCACATCATGGCGGGTCAAAACCGGTTCGCACACGAGGTGCTGATCCTCAGTGGGCTCTCCATACTGGATGTATATGCGTGCTCTCATGTTGCAAGAAAGGTCGGATGCAATAGCTACCAAGCGTCAACTCTCGCAATAGAGCTAGGGGGTCTTTGACAAACCTTAGGCAGTTCTTTCATACAGGCAAAATACATCGTAGTCCTGTGATAACTTATTGGCTTGCAAATGTTAAGCAGATATTCCCTGAAGGCCTCTGTTACAGTTGGAAATTGCAGGCTTGCTTCCAGCTTTTCCTGCAACATCGGAGGCGTGGTCCCGCATGGTGTATCGATGGAGGCTTTTGCAAGCTATCGAATGCACAGCAGTGGTGATCCCTCCTGAAAAAAAAAGACAGATTAAGTACAGACTCGAGAAAAAAGCATCACGCACGAAGAACGCAGATGGACAGCGGAGAAGTGGTATGAAGTGGGAATCAGTATTGCATTGAAATGATCAAACATCACAGCAAAGAAAGTATGTCCCCTCCATGCCCTCGACCTTGCACCTGATGGCACTAGAACAGAGACACAAAGGCACCACCACCCGATTGAAGAAGGTGGATGATGATGGTGTTCACTCTCGCTTCTATGTCCACACTGACTCAACGTGGTAATAACGTAACGGCCAGCTCTAGCTAATGTAGAAGCGGATGCTACCAAAGCCTCTCAGACCGAAGTCCTCAACGAGACGTTGGTAGCCCATGCCCATCTGCAACGCCTGCCACTCAGAATAAGCAACAAGAGCAACGAGATGAGCAAAACCCCCAGATACCACATTTTTGAACTGAAACCCCCAGAGGCACTGAATCCCTCGAAACCACTGTTTGATGCTGAAGTCAAGATTGGAGCGTTGCCAATACCAACGCAGACGATCGAGACGGACAGGCATCGACCAATTGCTACACACAGGAAGGCTAGGACCTGTTTCATGACCGACCGAAAAGTCCCTCGGTGGTCTCGTCCGAATTCAACTACGAGCTTCTTAACTGCAACAACAAAGAGTTATTGGAGGACGTATGGTCTTGAATAAAGTGCAATCACCAACCGATCTTTGTAGGTGAACACCCGAGGCAGCGGGAAGATCGGAGAGAAGGAGAAGAAACGAACTCTGGAAGTTGAAAACTCGCGTGATCCGAATCTGTGTCTCCTGCCGGTGGTTTGACCCTCCGGCCACACAAGGCAGTGCTCATGTGTCTCGAGCCGGCTGGTCTGAGGCAACCCTTGACTCAGCGGCGGTATCAAACATAAGGCACGAATGGTCCAACGGTGGTTGAGGCCGTGAAACGTCCGTGAGTGCCTCTCAGTAAAACATGCCAGGGACCTTTCGGCCTGTCAGAGCTGCCTGAAGGCGAGCTCGTTGTCTGTTGGCTTCTTCCACCGAAATCGGATTCCGAGACCTGCCAGAAACTCTTGCTTTCGCTCGAGGTCTGACCTCTCCGGACTCCCAGTCTCAGTGTCGGGGGATACCCCCTACTTGAGAGGTCCACTACAACAGTTTCCTGTTGTACGTATACCCTCCTGCACATGGCAGTGTGGAAAATACGTGACTGAGTATAATCCCCGGAGCGCCAAATTGATGGCACCCCCTAGCGCGGACCTAAAGCAGAGCTACAGGAGCGTTGCACAACGGTATATGGCGAAGGATTGGGTTCATCAGAATGTAGTCCCCCCTGCTGGGTGCAGTGCGGAACCTGTATGACCAGAGAAAGGTCGTTGGGCACAAATGCCACGTGAGAACGTGACGCCACAAAATGCAAGGCCGTAGCCAAATTGTAAAGCAGACTCCTCGCCGACCACCCCGGTGTTCGCGTTGTTTGTGTGCGCCTGTTTGGCTGTGTGGTGTTGGCCTCGACCTAGACGCCTTGATGTGCGGTACGTCGGTGTTATTGGCGTGTTGGCACGGCAGCCGGTCGCATCGTGTTCGCTCGGTGGTGGTATGGAATCGGCTCGTCATGCTTCCGTATGAGAAGATCTTCTAGGGCTGCCGGTGGCGTACTCCCTCTTCTGTAATGTGTTGGCTCGTCTGACTGCTGTATAATCTCCCGGCCCTTGCCTACAGTGACGCATGGCCTGTCGACGAGTTGCTACTCAGTCCATCGCTCTTTGCTGTCCAACCGGGCGAAAACGGGTAGCGGGGATACTGTAGCTAGTCGACCTTCCGCCACGTATGGGCCATCCCTCGTAGGGCATTCCCAGATTGTGAGACAAAGCTCGACATAAATGCAAGACAAATCTTGACAATGCTGCAAGAGGCTCAGAGGCATTGCAATAAAACTGCGAGGAGCGACCTCGACTTGACCGGTAGCAGGCCTCACTTAGAGCGCCCACTCCAAAACATCAGCCTCAAACTGAGGTCTTAAGACAACAAGCACTGGCTCCTGTGGGGCCTAACCGTGCTTAATCCAAGGGAGCCTCTTGATGGAGCGCTTCACCTCTCATCGTTGGCTTCGCTCTGAAGATCCAACGGACATCGAAGGCCCCATCTAGGACGCCAACGAACCCTGCGAGCTTCTAGCTCGACTTGAACCAGCCCCTGTCTTCCAGAGCTGCTGGCTGCGGGACGTCTCCCGACTTCCTGCAGGCACGTAGCCATGCTGGGTCTACCGTGGCAAGGAATAGGAGCTGCGGCTCATCCATCCATGGCCAGACCGGAGACTTCCACGTGACTGACTTGGCCGTGCTGCTGCACTACTCGTCCGTGGTCGTACTCGATGTGGGGGAGCACCTATTTGCACCGGGGGCCAGACCGGCAGACGGTGCTATGCCCAAGGAGAACTACGCTTCATTTGAGACCACGTCTCTGGTTCGTAGACCTGCGTCTCGGACGCAAGAGGCTCGATGCCTGAGTGGTGGGGTGGTTGTGGTGGTGGAAGATTGTCAAATCGAAAAAGAGGGGTGAGATGTGGTCGAAAAGTAGACTTGAGGAGACGTCTGCATTATAGTATAGCAGACGAAAGAGATTGACAAGAAGTGAGAGAAAGTCGTAGCCTCCAAGCGCATAAGCACGCCGGTCAGGTGCGGTGAGGTGGTGAGTAGGAAAAGACGAGGGACGCGGGCATTATAAAGGCTTGGTGGAGACGCGTGAAGAGGAGGTTGGGCGCGTTGAAATTTAACAAAGATGAGTGCGCTAGCCTTCCTTAGCGTTGCTCGAGTGTGGGTCCAGGCGCGTGCGTCATTGATTGCGAATACCATCTCTCGCAGGCGCATGTTGAGAGCGGTCCTCACTAACAGACAATACCATGGTAAAATTGCGATAATATGCTTGTCTACCACATGGAGTTTTGCTGATATTTGTGCAGCCACCCAAGCGTCGCGCCGCCCCGGCAAAAGCGCGCCCGGCACCAAAACGCGCCTCGAAGCTTGCCAAAGAGAATGGACTGAGCGCAGATCAGGAAGCTGAGATTCGCGAAGCTTTTGGACTGTTCGCTGTACATCATCCAGATCACGAGGACTCAAAGGAAGGTGTCTTGCGCAAAGATGACGTGCGCCGGTGCTTGATGTATGGTTGAGCTCCCATGAACACCAAATGGTATATGGTCGCTGACTTGACAAAGCTCCCTGAACCTGGCGCCAGAAAAGTCCGAAGTCCCTTCGATTCTCGCGACCATAGACCCACTCAACACTGGCTTTGTCGAGTTCGTGCCATTCCTTTCATATGCTGCCATTGCCATGCACTCGAAGGAGGCCGGGTCAGACGATGACATGGAGGATGACGATGACAACTACCGGGGCGAGAGCAACGCAGAGGAAGTCAGTGCAGGGTACCAGCTCTTTACCCACGGTGGCCCCGGCCCGATTACGTTAGGACATCTGAGGAGGATAGCGAAAGAACTAAGAGAAGATGTGCCGGATGAAGTCTTGAGGGATATGATCCTTGAAGCGAATGGTGGCGTGCGAGGTAAGGGCAAAGATGTTGGAGGGGTATCGTTGGAGGAGTTCGAGAGCGTGATGAAGCGGGCTGGACTGTCGTTTGGATGATCGAAGGCTCTTCGACAGCTACAACATCTCAATCCTACTTGGACTCCCAGCATCCGCCCTGCGACGCGCATCTGAGCATTCGGCCGGAGCCTTTCATGTCTAGACACATCGGAGACTCGATCTGATGGTTCAGACTCATGTTCGTTGCAGCACGCAACTACCCGAGTTTGCTACCAGCTGCCACTTTTGCCTCCAGCGTCAGCTCTCCCTCAGAGATGTCTGATGTATTACATTTTCGAACATCCGCGGAAGATTCGCAATCAGACCAATCCTGAGGTAGCACCAGGTACTACCAAATCAAAGGCCGTGGCAGTCCCGCAGGACGAACTACATTGTTCTTAGTTCAGAGCGATCATACATAGAGAGATAATCGCGTGTAATACGAGCATTTCCCAGGACAGAAGTAGCTAGCGGAAACACTTCGCACCAATCGTAAACTGTTTGGCCGCAGACGTCACCTTTGAAAGTTGTTGGCTTGGCGTTGGCACTCAGGGATACTCACCAGCAAAGGGAACACGACGCAAGTGCAACGGAGAGGTGCAACGAATTGAGCACCAACTCAGCAACCTTTTTCCCTTTCGCACAGGCACCGCAGTGCGTCTCTTCTTTTCAGGAAGCCTAATTGCACAGTAACCTAGACTAAACTCGAAACGCAGCTCCGCTGCATGCACACGGCCTAAACGCAGGACCCTTTCCGTACTCTCCCCTAGTGGCATGTCCAGCGGCGTTGAAGCCCCCGGCCAACGACGACCCGGTATCTGGTCCTACCTCAGCTTCACTGGCCCTCGCCGACGCGTCTCCGTCTCCCTTCCGCGCAGCCACAACCCCAACAGCGACCCTCACGAGAAGCCCGACCGCCATTCGCGACACCGGTCGACAAACTCCACAGGCTACATGAGCGACTTCAAGGGCTCCGCGATGATGAACCAGGGGCAGCGCCTGCGGTACCTCAAGACGGGTGGCATCATTGCCTTCGTCCTGCTGGTGCTGTACTTTGTTGTGCCGCGCGATGGTCTGTCGAGAGGTGGGTAGGCAGCATCGCATGTCGGAGCCTGCACTAATCATTCACTACAGGAGCAGTACCGTCGGGAGGCAACACGGCAGCGGGTGGGGCGAAGGCGACATGCACAAAGTCCTACTCCAAGGACAAGCCGCTCATCCAGTATGCGCTCATGATCGACGCGGGCAGCACAGGGTCCCGCATCCACGTCTACAAGTTCAACAACTGCGGCCCGAGCCCCGAGCTCGAGAGCGAGGTGTTCGAGATGACACCCAAGAAGGAGGGTGGCTCGGGTCTCTCTTCGTACGGCGACGACGCTGAGGGTGCTGCGAAGAGCTTGGACGTTCTCATGGACAAGGCAGTCGCAAGCGTGCCCCCAGAGTACCAGCGATGCTCACCCATCGCCGTCAAGGCTACGGCAGGTCTCCGCAAGCTCGGCGAGGAGAAGAGCAACAACACGCTGCGCGCCGTCCGTCACCGCCTGGAAACCGTCTACCCCTTCCCCCTCGTCTCCGAAGAGCAGAACGGCGTGGAAGTCATGCCGGGCGAGATGGAGGGCGTCTACGCGTGGATCACCATCAACTACCTCCTCGGCAAGATTGGTGGCCCCGACAAGACACCCACAGCCGCTGTGCTCGACCTTGGTGGCGGCTCCACTCAGATCGTCTTCCACCCAACCTTCCCCGACACTCCTCGCGGCGGACTCCCCAGCCAGCTCGCCGAAGGCGACCACAAATACGCCCTCAGCTTCGGCGGCCGCGACTTCGCTCTGTACCAGCACTCGTACCTTGGCTACGGGCTGATGGAAGCCCGCAACAACCTGCACAGCACGATCCTCGACGCTCTCTACCAGCAAAACAAGGACTCCGGCGCAACAGAGTACCTCAAGTCTCCCATCGTCAACCCCTGCATCGCACCAGGCATGAGCCGCGAAATCGACGTCAAAATGCCCAAAGGCCACGCCCTCGGCAACACAGTCACAGTCAACATGACCGGCCCCGCAGCCGCAGCACCAACCCAGTGCCGCGGCTGGGCCGAGAAGACACTGCACAAAGACGACGAGTGCAAGATCGCGCCCTGCGCATTCCGCGGCGTGCACCAGCCTCCTTTCGAGCAGACCTTCGCGACCGAAGCTGTCTACCTGCTGAGTTACTTCTACGACCGCACGCAGGACCTCGGCATGCCGGAGTCGTTCACGATCCGCGAGCTGCAGAATCTCGCGGACAAGGTGTGTCAGGGCGAGAAGGGGTGGGATGTTTTCACGCCTGTGCCTAAAGCGCTGGAGGAGTTGAGGGGGCGCCCGGAGTGGTGTCTGGACTTGAATTTCCAGCTCGCGCTGCTGCATACGGGGTACGGTATGCCACTCGATCGTGAGGTGCGGATTGCCAAGCAGATCAAGGGGAATGAGTTGGGTTGGTGTTTGGGTGCTTCGTAAGTCTTCCTGTGTGATCTTGTTGTGAGCTGGGTGCTAACGGGTGCGTAGGCTTCCGCTGTTGGAGAAGGAGTCGGGGTGGCAGTGCAAGGTCAAGGAGGTCAACTAGATGCTCCGCCTCGATATGCTGTTGGATGAAGGACTATAAGATGGACTCGATTCTTGCATGGTGGACAAGGAGCGAGGTTGTTTTGACTGGCATAGAATAGGCGTTTGGGTTGAAGCATTGCTATCATTCAGCAGCCTGCTATGCTGGGCTGGAAGGTGGGGTCTCAAGGAATTCTATTGCTAGAGAAAGAAACATCACAAAGTACAAAAGCCCCTAATGTACACTAGTGAAGTCCTGATTCATGTTGCTTCAAGGTCTGGAGTCTGAAAGAAAATCTAGGGTATCATTTCCACCTTCAACACTTTTCCGTCCCCCCCCCCAATCCTCCCATCGCTTCAACATCTTTACGCGCACGCTACTCTCACCAAACACATTTCAGGCCTTAGAACGACCCAATCTGCCCCTTGGTATACATTGTCTGCCTCCTTTTCGCCCGCTTCTTCTGCTCATGCGTCAGCCCCAATACATTCGCCCCATTCCTACCCTCTTGCGCCCCGAACGTGAGTTTCGCCCTCTTGAGCTTGAACTTGCCGGCCCATCGTCTGATCTTCCTAACAATATTCTGGCTCATCAAGACCAGCATCGTGACCACCATGACCGGCACCGCGATAATCCAAAAGAAACTGTCGCTATGATGCTGCACACCATCAAACCGCTCGAAATTCTGTCCAAAATATCCTACAAGGAAGGTGAGGGGGAGGAAGAAGATGGTGACGGCGGTGAGCACTTTCATCGACTCGTTTTGGAACGCGCCCATCATGTTGAAGATCAGGTCGATTAGGTTGTCGGCTGCGCGCCGCATTTGGTCCAAGGAGGCGGTAATCATTATGCAGTGGTCTTCCACGTCGCCGAGGTACGTGTGCGCCAGGGGCGAGATGGTGATGGAGGACATTGTTTTGCGGGTCGCGAGGTTGGAGTTTTGGTGCTGGATCCAGTTTTGCTGCATCGGGTCGCTTTTGTGATCTCTCAGGGCGTTGATGAGGGAGATGATGGGCTGGATGGTGTTGCGCAGGATGGAGAGCTCGGAGGTGAGTAGGTAGAGGGATTGCGAGTGGTGGATTTCTGGGTCCTCGAGGACGTCGAGTTCGAGCTCGCCCATAGCGTCTTCGTAGGCGGCGACGACGGGGATGGCGAGATCGATGATGGCGTCGATGATGGCTTGCACGATCATGGAACTGTCGGCACTGCGGCGGAGGATCGTGTCTTCGGTGTTGAGGCGCTTGAGGATGAAGGACTCGATTATGTTGGCCGAGTGCTCGAAGAAGGATATCACGCTGTTGTCGGAGCAGAGAAAAATGCCAACCTGCTCTACGCTGACCGTTAGGTGCTTGCTGGTGAGCGCCGAGTTCTGCTCGAGGTAGAGGATGCGCTCCAGGTTGGGTCCGCCACGGTAGCGCTGGAGAGTGCGAATGCCCCCGGTACCCTCTTTCGACGTCGAGACACGAGAAATACTCGCGCCGTCTAGATTGGTGTTGCGCTTCTCGAGGCTGTCAGGGGTATGCTCCAAGTCCTTGGGTTGCTTGGGTCCAGTGTGCAGGCCGAGGGCGTGCTTGATCTGCTTCATCCACGTCTTCCTCTTCTTCTTTTGCGCATGGTGTGCAGCTCGAGAGCGTGAGCGTGAGCGCGCACGTCGAGGTAGCTCATCTTCAGAATCAGAGTCGCTGTCTGAATCGTCGCTGGGGTTCCGGACGAGCTTCGAGAGTGTCAATAGCACTGAGGAACGTTAGCAGTGTGCTCACTGCCTCCAAGGTATGCCCCTTGATGTTGGAGCTCGCGGTTCTCGGAAACCGGCAGCCTCGCGCAAAGGAGAGTCCCACTTACTGAAAGCTTGGTCTGAGTACCAGTCGACCTTTGTCCGCTGCTCTCGACCTGTCATCAAATCCTCGATTGCCAGACGATGCAGTTGCTTGTGGGTTGTGAGCTCACTGATCACGTCGAAGTCCAGCCCATTGACATTGACCCAGCGGCACTCAACCCAGTCGTCTTTGGGTCTTTTCACAAACTCCTGCAGGGTGTCGTTGTCCAGTTCATACGTCTGAATCCTCTCGGCGGAGAAGTCAACTACGGTGATATCGCACTGTTGGCGCAGATGTGCGAAGCGTGCAGCGGCCTCTTCATCTTTGACATCCACACCCGGCTCAGCACCCGGCTCTTCCCACGTTGCTCGTGTCGGCGACTGATAGTGACGAACAGTATTCGAGCGCGTAATTCGCCGGCGGAGAGCGGTGTCGATGGAGGAGCGACTGTAGGCAGGAGAGACGACCTCCTCGATGCTTGGCTGGGCTGCGGTTGCCGTCGTTGAGGTCGCAGACCTTCCCCGGCTTCTGCTCTGCGTGTGCTCGTCAAGATGGGTGTCAAGATGGGTGTCAAGATGGAGTCTAGGCGCCGTTGCCGCGGACGGCCGCCGGTCCTGGGCAGGCGTAGGAGAGCTTGGCGAGGCAAAATCCTGGATCTTGGAGCCTGGTGGTGAGGCCATCACACATGAATGGCGCGATTCTCTCGCAGCTCGCAGTGCAACGTCGTGTAGCGTCGTGTGACGTCGTGGAGCTAGCTCTGGAGGACTTCAAGGGATCGTGGGACAGGAGCGGGAACAAGGAGAGCACTTAGGGGGCCATGAGTAGGACGATGCTATGACGCAGACAGACCGTACTCTGTCCTTCGGGCTGCACATCAACCCATGGTTGTGTACAAAACACGGCCCTGAAACTTTTCAGCTGGGTGCGACCTGCGGCCGCAGTTGGACGCGGTCCAGCCCATCAGCAGGAATGCGTAGGTAAGCAGGCAGGTCCACGAACAGCTGGCAGTGTGTGCAGATCACGATCAGCGCGCGCGTGTGCAGCTGTTCCCTTCAGTGCTTCCTCTGCAGCCGAAGACCAGGCTTCGACCGGGCTTCGAGACCGGTGGTTCACGTCGCCGGCACCATCGCACAGGCTTTGATGAGCATGAGAGGTGAAGTCATCAGGGTAGCACGTAGCACGACAGGGTTGCAAGCGAGCCTTTGGGGAGAGCACCGAGTCTGCGCGCTGCATTTCTCAGCAGCGGAGCAGTCGTGCACTCGGCCGGCGCTGGATGGCGATGCTTGGTGAGCGAGAGCGCGAGAATTTGCAGTCTTGATGCAGGCTTGGTGCAATCTTGATGCAGTCTTGGTGCATGCAGTCTTGGTGCAGTCTTGGTGCAGTCCTAGACACGCAGCAATGCGCAATGCGAGCGTCGTGCAGGGCTAGCGGCGCGTTGCAGTGCACCGACTGGCAGTGATTCTGCATTGAAATGAGAGGTCGAGGCTGCTACTATTCGCGGTCCGCTAGCCTGTGCCGAGATCTCCACCTTGCGGCCCATCATCGCTCACCCAAACCGCCTCTCCTCCCCATTCCCACCACAGCAGCCTCATTGAACATACTCTAGCACGCCCATACTATTACACCACCGCCGTCCCGCGCAGAGAGCCCCACAGAGCCACAGTGCCCCCAGCTGCGCGCTGCCCCTGCGGCCCCTTCGACTGCGAGCGCTCTCCAGCTTGCCACACCATACGCTCCTGCCGTGCCTGGGACACCCCTAACGCACAGCAAACGTCTTCATCTCCCGCCGACCGCCCATCAAAACCCCCTTCACGGCCGGCTCACCCTCCCTCTGCAGTGCACCGCCGCCCGCGTCAAGGCGTTCGCTGCGTACTCGTCTACAGTGCCCGGTCTCTTTCACCAGGCCTGCCTGTCGCCCGCCACATGCGACACTAGTGCTGCACCACCCCACGGCTCCTCGTCTTCCCACCCGCCCACCACGGCCAACTGCAGCACTCAGCAAACATGCGCGAAGTCAACTTCAGCATCCCCAACGCCAACAAGGCCTCGGTCGGCATCACCACCGCCCTCTATGACCGCCGTGCGCTCGACTGCACCTCGACCCTCCCGCTCATCAACTCGCTCAACCATCTCGCCTATCTGACCACATCGTCGGCACGCATCAGGGACATCCTCACCGTCGATGGCGGCATCGAGCGCCTGATCTGCATCCTCAAGGAGGGCCGGAGCAAGGACATGATGGACATGTGGAAGTGGAACCTGGCCTTCCAGTGCATCTTCAACATCGGCGTACGGGGCTCAGAGAACGTCAGGACCCGTGTGGTTGAGGCTGACATGGTCCCCGTCATCGCTACGATCCTCGACAACTACATCAAGGTTGTCGACAAGTACAGGGCGCGAGCTGAGGCTGAGCTGCACCGGTCTGCACGACTGGGCGGCTCCAGCCGACACCACTCATCGCGCTCTGGCGAGATGGCCTCTGGCTCTGGTCACAGGTCGGAGCGCTCGCGGCGTGCTATTCCTCCTCCCATTGACATCCCTCAGCTGCCCCCGCACGCTGGCTTGACTCCAGCCCAGATTCCTGTCCTCGACGCTGCGATGGATGGGAACCACATGCCTGCTTTTGCGTTGAGCTCTCCGCCTGAGCGCACCACATTCAACCGCGAACGACCGTCACACCACCACCACCACCACCACCACCATCAGCACACCCACAGGCCACTCCACGAGACACGGACGCCGCTGTTCGGCGCCGCTACTCGCAACCTCGGCCAGCCACTTGTCACCGCCATACCGTCCATGGACGCAACAGCAGACGGTTTTGCGCTGCGGCCCGTGCGAGATGCTGATCGACTGCCCTCCATGCTGCCTGCCCTGGCAGGGGAGATCACTTCCCAACCCGAGTCGCCGACGACGCCGAGTGCGCCACAGGCTCGCCAAGCTAGTCCACGAGCGGGGCTGAACCGCACACGCCGCCGACCGTCGATCCGACATCAGCTGTCCATGTCTGGAGAGTCTGACCTCGATGCACAACAGGAGGAGCTGTCAATGGACGCTGTAGCAGCGGCAGGCCCAGCTGCGAACGAGCCCATTGTCGGCATCCAGCAAGACATGGACCTGTCTGCCATTGTGGACAACGCAGAGATGATGGATGCTGGCACAACACCTGTTCCTCTCGCAGCACCCTCTGATGCAGCAGACGAGAACAACGAGACCTTCAACATCACACACCGACCTGCACTTGACGGCAGTTTGATCAACCTGACCAACACCCCGCCTACCGCTGCTACCATTGCAGGCTTCTCCCCTATGCAGCCCGCCATCAACGTTGCGAACGCAAACCCTCCACCGCCTTGGTACCCTCGCTACTCGCAAGACCGCAACGCCACAGCTGGCGTGCTCGCTGCCATGCCCCGTGATGAGGACGTTCTGATGTCACTGCAGCTGTTGGCGTATGTTTCGAAGTACTGCAACCTCCGGAACTACTTCCAACAATCCCACCTTGTCCCCAAGCTAAAGATTGGATCCGACCTGCAATTGCTGGACGGAGAAGTCCCCGTACCCAAGACCGAGGAGGAAGAGGAGGAGGAACTTGAAGAGTACGAGCTTCCAGACGATTTCAACATCTTCCCTCTTGTCGAACAGTTCACTGTTCGGCATCACACATCCGACATGCAGTACTGGGCAAGCGTTGTTATGCGCAACCTCTGCCGGAAAGACGACTCCCGAGGCGGCATCCGCCAGTGCGCATACTACCAGTGCGGTCGCTGGGAAGAATACACACGCCAGTTCGCCAAGTGCCGTCGCTGTCGAAGGACAAAGTACTGCAGCAAAGAGTGCCAGAAGAGCGCGTGGGTATTCCACCGCCACTGGTGCGTAGCTGCCACCTAGACAGGCGACGGTCCTATTTCCTAATCATCTGTTTCCGCACAACATATCGTCACATTGTCATTGGATGTTTATCTATGGCCGCATACTGCATGGCGCTCGTCTCTTCCACCATAATCTTTGAGGGTTTCATACTTTAATGAGCGTCACGACATTGGGATACCACAACAGACTGCTTTTCTTTTATTGGAAGGACATGTATGGGAGTTGGCAAGCATATTTGCGAAGAGGAGGATCACACGATGCATTGAGTCGCAGGGCTCTCATTATACCATATTGCTATTTTGCGAGCATTCTTATCAGGGCGCTGGAGTAGCCTGTAGCTGGTTCAGTGCAATTGAATGGCATTCGAGCTCTTGCTAAAACAATCACTCTCTGCTTTGCACTGATGTTTCCCTGCGTTTTGCTTGCTCTTCATTGTAGTCATTTAGCCAGCGCGCACATAGCATAGCACAGCATAGCACAGCATAGCACAGCATAGCATAGCATTACCAACTACAAACAACCTCCCTTCAAACAAAGAGACCCTGGAGTGAAGGCTGCAGGATCGCCGACCACCTGGCTGTCCTTTGTCTGCCACGTCTGTGACCCTTCAGACGCATCCACGGTTCTCAACACTTTTAGATGCACGTCTGTGGAGTACTTCTCTGGGTCCGGGGCTGTGGAGTGACAGCGGCGCCTTTCCGGCTTTCGATGGGTACGTCACTGGTTCGCAGCACGATGCGCAGGGATCGGTACAGCATGCATCACGGGCGCCTGCCGAAGGCTGTCCACATTCAGCCGCCGAGCCGTCTGCGCAGCTCCGCCCGCAGGCACCTGTTCGTATCTAACGGTCTGCTACAGCCTGTTCACCAGTGCCACCACCTTCCAAATGAACAAATGTCCACTGTGGAGAGCCTCTCTCCCGCCGCGTTGAACCCTCCTCTCGTCCTCCATAGTCTCAGGCTCACATAGGACGTTAAACCAATCAATCAATCAATCAATCAATCGAATAATCAAATAATCAATCAATCAGTCAATCCGCCGCCGCGTAATCGCTAAGAAGTCAAGGCGCTAGGCTGTCTAGAAGCACCGAAGACTCGACCGTCGCGCAAGCCGCAAGGCACTCAGTCCGCTACGCTCGCTCTGCCCACGTGTGGGATGTTGGACGACAATGTCAGGCGCCGGAGACTCGAGCGGCGGCGCGCGCAGACGGCGCTCAGCATCTCACGATGACGACGATCTAACGACTACCGTCGCGGAGACGACTGCCCCACCGTATGCGATCGAGCGTCCACGAGAGACTGCGGGCGACAATGTGCCCGCCTCGAGAACCGCAGCGTTCGAAAGCACCTCCCGGCCGACAGCGTCACGCCTATCCTCTGACGTCTCGCAACGAGTACGCTTCTCGACCGACATCGTACGTCATGCACCAGCGCAAAGGTCGAGCTTGGCGAGGAACAGAGCGTCGATCGATGAGGTTGCCCAGGTAGCGAAGCGTTCCGATTCGAAAGAGAGGCCTGGCACTTCGAACCTGACAGTCGACACGCGTGAGGTGTCTCCAGGGGGCGCAGAGGCTCCAGGGCAAGGACACACCTCTCCGTCCTCACACATGTCGCCTCTGCCACCACGACCCTCTGGCAAGAGCTCGCCGCTCTCCCCCAAGGCTCGCAATCGAGGCCTGTCCATGCGCAGCGCTCTCTTCAGGAAGAATTACTCGGACCAAGCGCAACCGCCTGCAGCAAGCATTGAGTTGGACGAGCACATGGGCAGCTCGCAAAGCGACACTGGCCAATCGAGAGTGCACGGCAACAGACATGCGCTAAAGAGTGGCGACACTGTGGTATCGGTTACTCCTGCACAGATCGAGTACGCCTCAGAAGCATCAGACCTATCCAATGCAAAATTAGGGAAGGGACCAATCGCCTTACCGCACTACAACAATTGGGCAAAAACACAGGCCGGGAGGAAGTCGACATACGGAAAGCGAGCGCGCGGCTTCGCGGAGCAGGCACGCAAGTTCATACTACGACAGCATGATACACCGCCCAGCAAAGATGGACGACACATACTCTTGGATCCCACGCGGAGAGAGCCCTTGATCGACGAACGAACGACACAACCATACGTCCACAATTGGATACGATCTACACGATACTCAGCCTGGAACTTTGTACCTCGTCAACTTGTTGCCCAATTCTCCAAACTCGCAAACTTTTATTTCCTCGTTATATCTATTCTGCAAATGATACCCGATCTCAGTACCACTGGAAAGTACACCACCATTGTACCGCTGTTGTTTTTTGTTTTCCTCTCCATTGCGAAAGAAGGATACGACGACTTGAGACGATACCGGCTCGACAAGGCGGAGAACAACCGAGAGGCGAAGGTCTTGCGCGCGAGCCCATCACCGGTGTTCAAGAGTGGTTCGACGGACGACGGAAGTGTATCTTCCCCCGAACCGGAGAAATTGGCGTGGGAGACTATCAAGTGGCAGGACATTCAGGTGGGAGATATTATCAAGCTGGATCGTGACGATGCCGCGCCAGCAGACCTCGCTCTGCTACATTCCAGTGGAGAGAACAGTGTGGCTTTCGTAGAAACCATGGCTCTAGACGGCGAAACAAACTTGAAGAGCAAGCAAACGGCGGCATCGATGGCGAAGATCATCAAAAGTCAGGAGCATGTACTACGGACTGAAGCCGAGTTCGTCATTGAGGATCCAAACCGCGACTTGTACAGCTTCGAGGGCCGTGTCAAAGTGGGTGGCAAGCAAGCACCTTTGACGTTGAACGAGATCGTCTTCCGAGGTAGTATCCTCCGAAATACTCCAGATGCTGTTGGACTTGTCATCTACTCTGGCGAAGAATGCCGCATCCGCATGAACGCCAACAAGAACCCCCGCATCAAAGCCCCAGCGCTCCAAGGCTTCGTCAACCGCATAGTCATCATCATTGTTATCTTCGTCATCCTCCTCTCCGTCTTCAACGCTGTTGCATATAAGATATGGCAACGCAAGGAAGACGAGTTGTGGTATCTATCCGGATCCTCTGTCGCCTTCTTCCCAAGTTTCACTTCCTTCGTCATCATGTTCAATACCATGATCCCCCTGTCGCTGTACGTCAGTTTGGAGATCGTCAAGCTGGCACAGATGTTCTTCCTGCACACGGACATCGACATGTACGACCCAGTGTCAGATACACCTTGCGAACCAAGAACCTCGACCATCAACGAAGAACTCGGACAGATTAGCTACATCTTCTCCGACAAAACGGGTACGCTCACAGACAACTCGATGAAGTTCCGCAAGTTGAGCGTGGCTGGAGTGGCCTGGCTTCACGACGCTGATCTGCCTGGCTCGAAGAAGAAGAAGCTGAAGAACAGGCCACGCAAGAAAGGGAAAGAGCCAGCAAAGAGCAGGAAGAGCGTGCGGTCAACAAAGGACGTCTTGTCTGAGGAGCATGGCATGGCTACGCTCGACTTTGGCGAGCAGACTGATGTCGAAGAAACGATAGGCTCGAAGTGGCAGTCGACGACAAGGCCGCACAAGGCATCTCGGGAGCTTCTGACTGGCGACATGCTTCGATACATACAGGAAAAGCCTCACACTCCATTCTCGAGGAAAGCGCGAATGTTCCTCCTTTCCCTGGCACTTTGCCACACCTGCCTACCAGAAGTCCAGGAGGATGGCAAGACGCATTTCATGGCCTCATCTCCTGATGAACTTGCTCTCGTTCAAGCAGCTCAAGACATGGGCTTTTTGCTGATCAACCGAGACGTGCATTCCATGACGCTGAAGATCCTGCCCTCCGGATCAGAGGGCGAACCCATACTTGAGACTTATGAGATCCTGGATGTGATCGAGTTTTCTAGCAAGCGGAAGAGGATGTCGATTGTGCTCCGCTTTCCAGACGGGCGCGTATGCATCATTTGCAAAGGTGCTGATTCCATCATCATGCAGCGTCTCAAGCTGGCTGCACTTGCGAACAGGAAGATGGTCGAAATCGAGCGTCGTGCGAACAAGAGGAAGAGCATGGAAGTCCAATCAGCTATTGCTTATATGAACGAACAGACCGAGAGGAAGAGTAGTATTGGTGGCCGCAGAAGTATGTCGGTTGCACAAGCTGCCCGTGCCAGTATCAGCATGGGCAGGCACTCGATCGCTCGAAGCAGTATTGGTGGTCGGCCTTCCGTGTCTGCGAGGGACGAGATGGATCTGTGGCTGCGACAGCGGGAGAATGATTTTGGCCGTCGCCACCCAGTCGAAGGTACCGTCTCGCCTGCGCGAACACCCCGTCAGTCCGACCTTGGACGACTCTCTTCAGTGGCTTCATCCGCAAGGAGTTCGATGCAGTTAGAAGACATGGAGGCCATGGTCGACGAGAATGTTGCAGGCGATGATTCTGCTGTTATCGAGCGGTGTTTGCAACACATCAATGAGTTTGCTACCGAAGGTCTTCGAACGTTGCTCTACGGCTACCGTTACCTGACGGAGGACGAGTACCAGACATGGAAGAAAGGCTACCTGGAAGCTACCACAAGCCTTGTGGACCGAACTAGGCTCATCGAAGAAGCTGGCGATATGATCGAGCAAGATCTTGACCTGTGTGCTGCGACCGCCATCGAAGACAAGCTCCAGCAAGGTGTCCCAGAGGCAATCGACAAGCTACGCCGAGCCAAGATCAAGATGTGGATGCTAACAGGCGACAAGCGCGAGACAGCCATCAACATTGGCTACTCCTGCCGTCTGATCAAGGACTACTCCACCGTCACCATTCTCGATCACAAAACCGGGCAAGTCGAGCAAATGGCCGCCGCAGCCGTGTTAGCCATCACACAGGGCACCGTAGCGCACTCCGTCGTCGTAGTTGATGGTCAGACTCTCTCGCGTATCACCGAAGACGGCACCCTCCAAATTCTCTTCTACGAGCTGGCCATCCTCGCCGACTCGGTAATCTGCTGCCGTGCTTCGCCCTCCCAAAAAGCCCTCCTCGTAAATACCATCCGCAAGCGTGTGAAAAAGAGCATCACCCTCGCCATCGGCGACGGCGCAAACGACATCGCTATGATCCAAGAAGCGCACGTCGGCATCGGCATCACAGGCAAAGAAGGGCTTCAAGCAGCACGCACCTCCGACTACTCGATCGCACAGTTCAGGTTTCTGACCAAACTTCTTCTCGTCCATGGTCGGTGGAATTATATTCGCACCTGCAAATACACCGTCGGCACCTTTTGGAAAGAAATGCTCTTCTACCTTACGCAAGCCCTATACCAACGCTCTGTCGGCTACACCGGTACCTCCTTATACGAGTCATGGTCGCTTAGTATGTTCAACACGCTCTTCACATCCCTCCCCGTAATCTTCATGGGCGTGTTTGAAAAAGACCTCTCTGCATCCACACTCCTTGCTGTGCCGGAATTGTACACAAAGGGCCAGCGCAACGGCGGTTTCAACTTCAAAGTCTACTTGGGTTGGATGTTCATGGCCTCCGCGGAAGCAATGATTGTGTACTTCTGCATGCTCTCGCTGTTCGGCGACGCGCTGTTCACTGAAGATAATAGTATCTTTGCGCTGGGAAGTATTACGTATACTGCCGTTGTCTGGGCGATCAGCTTGAAGGTGCAGTACGTACCCAGTGGCCCCCCCCCCCCACCCCCCATCTTTCCTACTTACCAAACAAAACTCTAGTCAGCGGTTTACTGACAAGTTAATAGGTTCATCGAAACGCACTCAAAGACAATAACAAACGGCATAGCAATCTTCTGTTCCGTCGGCGGCTGGTTCCTCTGGAACATCATCCTGTCCGCAACTTACAACCCCAAATCCACAATCTACTATGTGCGCTCCACTTTCCTGGAGGGTTTCGGTGCGAGTCTGACATGGTGGCTCGTCCTCATCATCATCCTCTTGTCAGTCATTGTCTTTGAGCTTGGTGTAAAAGCACTGTTGGCTGCGTTTTGGCCGACGGATGAAGATCACTTTCAGGTGCTGGAGAAGGATCCGGATGTTAAGAGACGGTTCGAGGAGGCCGCGGCTGAGGAATTGCAGTTGGGATGGGATCGGAAGACGAATAAACACCGAGATGAAGAAGAGAAGGCAAAGGAGGTCGTTGAGGCGATCAAGGCCAAGGAGGAGGAGGAGAGGAGAGAGAATGAAGTCAAGGAGCTGTTGAAGAATAGGGTAGAGGTGCTGGAGACGGATGGGAGTCCGGAAAGGAGCGCGGAGGGAGGTGTGGGGAGTAGTGGTGATGTCGACAGGACGTTGAGTAAAGGGTTTGGGAAGGTGAGAAGGGACTAAGGGTGCATGGATTGCGTTGTGATTTTGCATACGTCATTGCGTTATCTTGTTGCTTGTTGCGTTTTGAGCTTTTGATACCATGTACATTCACTGCGCCGCTGCATTCTGCGCACTCCGAACTTGATATCATCTACCTTTCGCATACAGGCGCTGCAGTCGCGTTTTTCGCATGGTCCTAACCTATGAGCACGTGTAAGCCTGCGCCTCTCATGTTGCAGAAAAGCTCTGACGCAGCAGCTGTCTGGAGGCCTTTGGAGTAGTTCTGATTGTGAGTTGAGGTACGTAAAATTGCTTGTAGTCTCTCAACTAATTGATGGTCAATAAAGAGAAGGCAAGTACAACTTGACTACCTCCTATAACCGGGGGATTGCATGCTTGTATCCGGTGTTCTCTTCCCTGTTTTTTTTTTGGCTTGTACAGCCAAAGGCTGTTGCCTGACTCCGCTCTCCTAGCTTTCCTCGTTCATCTGGACACAACACACTCTCTTTGCACGCTACTCATCTCTCATGGCTTCCGACAATCTAGCTCCCGACTCAACCCAGACCCACTTCCATCACGGTATACATCAGACACTTTGCCGTCGAGTTTATAGTTGGAGAATTATTCCGGTCAGGTGGGCACTTGAAATTGACAGCATACAGCGGTTTGTGCCAGCGTTGCACGGTTGAAGGAAAGACCTTGTAGACCGGCCAAAGAGGTTGTTGGAGCTGACAGAAGATGAAGTCAGATTGAAATTGAGCGAGATTATACCCACGAGCTGTTCGTACATAACGTTGAGCCATAGTTGGGGAGCACATCCGGAACGGCAAGTTCGCCTGACTGAAGGAACGGGTCGAAGAATTCAAGGAGAAGGTACCCATCGACGAAATGTCACATCTGTTCAGGGAAGCCATATACATCACTCGCCACCTTGGTTTCAGGTACTTGTAGATGGACTCTCTTTGCATCATTCAAAACTCTCCAGCCGACTGGAAAGATGAAGCAAGTAGGATGGCCATGAACTATAGCAACGGCCTCTGTAACCTCTTATTCCTGTGTCCTCCAGAGACGACACAGATGCGGTCACCCCACGACCAGAGACCACGCACCTCTTGTACCATTCGCCGTCCCATTAGCTCAACAACCGGTGTCGTCCTTGAACCGCAGCTTCTTTGGAAAGGAAGCCACGATGATCCGAGCTCCGATTGGCTCGATCCTTCGCAATGGCCACTGCATTCACGAGCTTAGACTTTCCAAGGGTACTTTCTCTCCCGGCGTAATCTCTTCTCTGGATACAAAAACATTATGTGGGAGTGTACATACCGTTTTTGCGACCAATCGATGAGGCAGACTTCGGTCAATACTATCGCCTGGTTGAAGAGGCGTGATTTCTGGCAAGCAAGAGGAAACGACGAAGCAGAGTGCAGACAAGGAAACTTGGAGACCTGGCTGGAGCTTGTCAGTCAGTACAGGCGGAGAGAAAATAAAATCCGAGGAAGACAGAGTCGTGGCGTTTGCTGGTGTGGCTCGGAGGCCATGTAGAATTCTTCTGGCCATACCCATGGCGCAGCAGTCGGCCGGAATAGAGATCCATGGACTAGCCATCACACCAGGCTTGGGAGTTATACGTGGAGACAACTGGGACAGTGGCAATGTATTAGCCGATGGCTCTGACATAATGTGCAAGAGTACACTAGAGGAGACAAGGACGCATTCTCAGCACGTAGCTGAAGGCCATCTGCAGAAAATTGTACTTGTTTGATCGTCTGTTCCACTAAGGAACTGTAGCCTGTCGAGATTTCTTCTCAAGAAACTCTCGCAGATTCAAACGACTTCTCACCCTTCTACTCTTGTCGCACCATGAATGCTTAGAGGGAGCAGCTTCCCCAGTCGATTATCGACAGCACCAACAACCTAGGCCTCGGAACCTGTCTCTTCCCCCTTCCAAAATAGTAAATGAACTATGTCATCCAAAGTCCTCGATCCTGCTTCAGTTCTCCCAATCTACCCAACATACCCAGCAGGCATCACAGACGACCTCGGAAGTCCCTGAATCTCTCAACACCATAAATCGTCTGACATGGGTAGGCTTCAACTCGTCGACAGCCCAACATCTCCTCGACGAATACCAGCGGCCGGCAATGAATCGCCCCGATCGATACTTTATCAACCAACACGTGGCTGGGTATTTTTGAGTACTTTGATCTCCGTGGCGAGAAGGACTGGCGCAAAGCTATAGACATGATTGGCATCGTTCATTGCCCGATTTTAAGGATACACGGAGCACACAACCCCGGCAAGGATGGCTCAACGAGTTTTATTGTTTCGAATGTTCTCACCCTTCGAAAGTGAACGACGGCCTCACGACTAAGATCCGCCAAATCACAGCAGCATATGTTGCAGACAGCGTACCATTTGGAGAGCGTAGCAGAGAAGGCGGCGATGGATGTGTATAGGTGTGTTCCGGGGACGTTGGGGGTCTGGTGGCTTGCTGATGGGAAGATGTGGATGAAAGGCAGGCGGGAGCAGTGGAGTTGTCGGTGTGAGAATCCCCGGTGATTGAGATGGCGAGGTAGAGGAAAGTTGTTACTGAGTTGAAAGCCTCCTGGGGTTGCTGCAGCAAATGTGGACTTTGATGCAGCAGACCAACATGCCCACCTCCTCGAGCAAAGGCGGTAGTTTGTAGGGCTTCTCTAGATATGCTGAAGAGATCCATGGGTCGTAGAAGATCCCGAAAAGAGCTGACGGCGGCTACTGGAGCGAGCAAGGACGAACTGCGCAAGGAACGAACCAACAATCGACAGACTTGGAGTAAACAACCAACACGCCACACTCTCTCACCCACCTATCCGCACTTCTCACCGATCCCTTCTACATGTCGATCTCATTTCCATGTTCATGACATCACAGAGTCAATCGCAAACACGCCCCCTCCACACTGCTCGCCTTGAAACCTTGACAGCTCACACAAACACTATCCACCTGTCGGATCTTGATCTCGATCTCGTTCATACGATGTCTCACGACATCACTTGCGGTTGTTGCTCGTGAAACGAGGTGTGCGGAGAGTGTGCGTTGTTCGTTTCATCGTGTGGGGGTGGATATCGAGATTCGAGAGGCTTGGCAACGGGGTAAAGACGGGGAGGGTTGGTAGACATCGATCTGAGTGATTCGTGTGTTTTGAAGAGACTGAAAGACACCAGGTGTGGGACGAGTTGAGATGAAGATGAGAACGATGATGAGTGCCCTCTTGTAGAGGTGCATAACATATTGATTCTAGCAAAGCATGTTGGGTATAGTCCTAACACCACACCAATGCCATTCCATCTTGTAAGAAAAATGGCCCAAGTCGACAGCTGATTAACGCCAGCGCGCCAGTCACCCAGAAATGCAAGTCTATATCGCTAGTATAACGTGACAAGAAAGAAAAATCGTCGAACATAGAATCTCATCATCATCAACGGCATTGCATGCTTTAATGGATGAGGTAGTGATGAGTCCTCAAGTCGTGCAGACACAAAGCACTGAGTGTCGCACCGAGTCTTAAAGCTCGTTTAGCACCAGCGCAGCGGAGCCGAGCGTCGTGCATCCGCGGACGCTTAAAACTGTCCGAAGGACGATAGGCGAAGGAATTAGTCGTGCATTTCGTACTACAAGTATTTATAGAATGCGGTGCCTGCAGGATGTCAGTCAGCTGATTCACTTGGACTCCACAACATGGGATGGCGTGTAGCTGGGTAAGACTGACCTTCTGAATGCTGTCTCAAGGCTGACGGCGCTGAGTTCGGAGTCGTCAGGCAGCTCGTTGAGGAGTGGTACGAGGCCGGCGAACTTGTCGCCGCCCTTGTAGGCGAGGACGGCGGGGACGCCTTCTTCTTCCATTTCGGCGTCGACGTTGTGCAGCTTCACGAAGCGGACTGTGTCGTTGCGCTTTGCTACTTCGCGCATGCATTCCTCGACCATGTTGGAGATCTCAGACTGAAGTATGTCAGAGATGTGAGCGTTACGGGAGAATTGCTTCAACATACCTGGTCGTTGTAGATAAAGACGACAACCGTAGTGTCTGACGATGTCTTCTCAATGGCGTCAAGATATCCTTCACCGTCCACCGCAGGCATGCTACCGTATATCTTCCTGCTGGGGCTGTTTGTGCGTGACCGTATCCGCTGGCCGGCGTTCTGCAGCTCCCGCAACCTCGACTCGCGCCATTGCTTCATGAAGCCACTGTCGTTCTCCTCGTCTGATAATGTCCGGTCATCCTGGTAGGCTGTGACATTGTACTGCTGTGGTGAGGAGCCCTTCTTCCATGTGAACCGCCTTGCCTGCTTTTTGGCCTGCTCGAAAGCCTGTGCATCTGCAATCACGCCCTTTGGCCCTGTGTTGGCTTCAGAGCGGATGTGCGAGGGCATGTAGTAGTTGGAACGCATGTCGGCGGGGATGTCGAGTTCGTCGTCTGTGTCTACTATCTCGTAGCGGTCGTTGGCGGCGCCTTCAGATTCGGGGTCAGAGAGGTCGCTGTCGTTGTGTCTGTCTTCTGGATGTCTTTCTTCACGGTCCTTGTCGCGCATAAGCTCGTTGAATTCGTCTTGGGCAGCAGTTGTCATTATGAAAAGAGGTCCGGCCGGGTCGCGGGCGGGCGTGCTATTTGTATAGGTGCTGCGGTGTGGTGAGGCAGGAGCGTTAGTCCAGCATCTAGGGTGTCCGAGATGGATGACAGCTTAGCGGGGTGCATGGGTCTATTTTCGAGAAGCAGCCCCGTTTCAGCGTCATGATTGGACACACAGGTGAGGAAATGCCGGCAAGACTGACGACGACCTTCAGGCCACAGCAGCAATTGCTCGGGCACGGTGCTGCGCCCACAAGGATGTCCATGGATGTTGCGTGTTTTAGGGCTGAGGTGAGGCGCCTCTGCCAAATTGACACGCGACGTCCTCCTGGATTGTCGAAGATTGGCGAGAAGGAGCCACGACTTCTGAAACGAGCTCACGGTCACGAAACAGAGATGGTGCGATTTATCGAATCAGGTCATGGCTAGTTGCCGTCATGGCCAACGCGTGCACACCTTCGAAACGCCATCTGCTGCGCGAATTCGGCATCAACCGAGTTGTCAAACCATCATCATGCTGTAAACATCTCCAGGCGCATTGAGGCTGACAGGCTCGATAATTTCTACTGCTTATGCGGTGGCATATTGGCACTGCCTAATGCAGCATTACAACAACCGATTTCATTAGAATGAGTGTTGCATTTAGCAGCTTTGATAAGAAACGCCAGCTACCCCGGACACCAAATGCTTCTACAATCTTCCAGAAGCGCGTTTGCCGTGTCTGTTCTGCTTCAGGCTTGAGTGACAGTCTCGAGAGCGCCCTACGCACCGGCAGGAGCGCGTTGCATGAGTCGACCAAAATCACAGGCATAGCCATACAGCACTGCACCAACCCGGCGCCAGGAGCCACGTGCTTTGCATGTCACTGCCCCTGGGCCAACTTGAGGGCTGTACAACAGCACTCCCGGGCTGCATGAAGGCTCCTGCTCAGAGCCAAATTTCCCGTCTCCTTGGTGAAAGTGGAGGTTGTGGAACGGCTGCTCACCGTCCACCATAGGTTCTCTTTGTCGTCATTCACCGTGTCGTCTGCAAGCAACATGTCTGCTTCTTTGGGCCGGAGAGCCGAGTACGAAGCTGCGTGTTCACACCGTGACGCTGGTATCCACCGTGCCGTCTGCGTTGACGTGCTCTTCCGAGGAAGCCGAGAAGGTAGTGTAGAAACGATTGACTGCTATCTGCCTACAGAGTACGTGTCCATCCCTCGCATACAAGCACAGGATCATATATAGAATCGAAGCCCGCCGCACATCACCAAACCACCTCATAATTCGAAACGTACATGAAATCCGTCTTGCACAACTCCATCAAGTCGTCTTGCTTTTGAACTGCACACAAAAAGAGAAATAAGCCATGTTAGAAAAGTGGTGAACGTGTAAATGAGCTTGATATGGAGGGATGGACAGAGTGGTACTCTGAGAACAGCCAGCCCGAATCTCTGAGACGGAAGACGAGTACAGCCCGGTTTGTTGCGAGGAAGAAGAAGATGGAAAACAGTGGTATGGAAAGGAAAAGTGAAGATGGTTCCGGGCGCCTGTCCACCAAATTGACGCAATAGCCGCCGCTTTGTAGCTTCCAAGTGTGGTATATTATGTTGGTCGCTGCAATGTCGCAAAGTCCAAACTTCTCCCAGGGGAGGGTGTGTAGTGGGTATGTTAAACAGACAAGGTCGGAATGGGAGTTCGTGGAACGGCCAGATTAGGGATACGTGCATGCGACCGTGGTCCAACTGTGTATCGTAACATGACGTTGCATGCTTCAACGCCGCTCGCTTATGCCCAAATACGCAGCTGTAAGACGTTAGCCGATTGCCAAGAAGGAGGTTTGTCGAATGAGCTACCATAGAGTCCCATGAACCCGTGCACAAACTAAGTGCATCGTTGCTGACACCAAGACAGCTGACACGGTTGTCGTGCCCTTGCAGCGTGCCAACGCGCTCGCCGCGAAGAACGTCCCATACCTATGATTTCATTAGAGAGTAGTATCAAACATTGTGCGCAGCTGCTTACCTTGCACTCAAAGTCATCGTAACCAGCAAACAGCAGACGGCCAGACACGGAAAAGGCAACGGAGGTGATACCGCAGACAGGCTCGGGGATCTGGAGAAGCAGAAGTCAGCGTACAGAGTCAATGTGATGTAGCTGGCAAGGGGTGCACGCACCTGGTACGAGGCAAGCTCACGATCGGCACGGATGTCGAACAGACGACAAGAAGCATCATCAGAACCAGTACCAAAGGCGTTACCGTTGGGAAAGAACTGGATGGCGTTGATGTCCGAGTCATGGGCGGCGAAAGTCTGCACGCACTTCTGCTGACGAATATCCCACAGCTTGGCGAACGCATCGCAGGCGCCAGATACGAACTGGTTGTGGTCGAGGGGGTTGATGCTCAAGCTCATGACATCGCCGAGATGGTCGGCGAACTCGTGCACCTTGGACCCAGTTTCCAGATCCCAAAGCACGCAGGTCATGTCGCCGGACGAAGTAAGGATTCGCTTGTCACTGATAAACCTGCAGCAGGACAGGTATCCTGAATGGCCAGAGAGCTCTCGTGCCACACGTGTAGGGCCTTCCCGCGCTGACAGGTTGTAGATGGAGCAGATGTTATCGAGACCACCGCACGCTACGTAGTTGCCGGACGGTGAGTACGCGCAGGTCATGACCCACGATGATCGCAGCGGGATGGCGTGGACCTTGTTCGTTGTGTACGCGTCCCAGATAATGAGCTTGCCGTCTTGCGAGGCAGAGACGAGGTGTCGGCGGTCGGTCGACCAGTGCATGGCGTAGATCTTTGCAAGATGGCCCTTGAGTGTGCGCTTCGTCTTCATCGCGAGGCGCGGCAAGGCCTCGACACGGTCGCGGGCGACATCGCGGACTGCAGTCAATTGTTAGCAGTGCACAGTGCAAAGGGGCAGTACTGTGCTGCACGTCGAGGGGACGTACGGGTTGTGTCAGCGAGCTCGTCCTTCTTCCGTTTTATCCTGTCCTTCAGGGCCTCGGCATCGCGCCGTGCGACCTGAATTTTCTGCTGGATAGACTCTTGGTTCATGTCGGCCATGCTACTCTCTGGCTACCGGGTGGGAGGAGGGTGTGGTGTCGCGGCGGGCGCGCGAGCGAAAGCGGCGATGCAGGCAAATCCAGGGGGGCCTCGCAGGGAGCGCAGCAGCCCGGGGCACCGAGACACAGGCGGGGGCAGCAGGCGGGCAGAGGCAGCAATGGCGACGGGCGCGCGCGTTGCAGCTGAAATTGCTTGCGCAGGGAGATCGATGGGCGGCGTTCGGAGGATGTTGTGGTGGAGAGGGCTGCGGGTGCTGGAGGAAGTGAGGTACGCAGACGCTTGGCTAGGCCGAGAGACACCAGCTGGGGTCAAAGGAAGCGGCCCTGTCTGCTGGAAGACCGCAACAATGGGCTGCGCGGCAAGTGAACAATAGACTGCGCGGCAAGTGAACAATGCGGGGCTGACTGTGCGGCTGCCGTCTGCGTGCAGTGTGCCCTGCCAGCGATAATTGATTCACAGATGTCTGCTGCTGTGCTGCTTACGAGAATTGCGCTGCTTGCTGGGCTCTCTCGACCTGACGAAGAAGGCGCGCGCAATCTCCTACGACGCACCACCTCTCCTTTGCACAACCGCGCCCCTGATTTGCCCGTGTCCACTCGCACCCTTGCAAGCGCCATGTTCTTCCCTGGACGGAGCCGCTGCTATCCCCAAAAGCGCCTCACCACCAGGCGCCGCTCCGAAGTCTATTGTTTTCGATTTGCACTTCGAGAAACGTCAACAGCGCCACCAATACTCAATTGTCAACATGTCCGCTGCTGCAACGTCTGTCGATGAACGTTTTGCCCGCTGCCTACCAAAGATCGAAGTGAGCTGCACCAGCCTCCCCTAACGCTAGCCAGCGACTGGGCGACCGTTCGCAGCACTAATCGCCCGCCACTCAGTTGCACGCACACCTGACTGGCAGCATCAGCCGCGAGTGTCTGCACGACATCTGGGAAACCCAAAAGGGCCAAGCTCCTGCGTTCGACGTCGAAGACCCTCTTATTGCTATCCCTTCTGACAAGGTCGACTACGACCTCGAGACGTACGGCCCCTCAATATTTGATTTGATGCCGCGATTCATGTTCCTGTCTCCTATTGCTGCAGCGAGCTAACAGATTTGTCCTCATACCGAGGCTCCATTCTGATGCACGTTGTTGCAGTTCCTTGCATCATCTCGAAATCACCACATCTTGGTTGTCGTAATCACACGGAGTTGTAGTCAGTAGTCAACGCTGACAGCTGGCACAGTTTCTTTCCCTTGTTCTCATCGTACATCTACAAGCTGTGCAGCGATCTCCCGAGCATAGAGTACGTCTCATGTCGGCTGCGAACACTACATCTGTTGACTGTATGAAGATACTCGACAAGGGCAGTGTTGCAAGACTTTCAAGTAGATGGCGTGGTCTACCTAGAATTGCGGACCACGCCTCGAGCCATACGCGAGAATGGCATCACCAAAGATGACTACGTCAGGACCGTTTTGAACATCCTAAGTGCATGGAATAGCAATGCCGCCAACACCTTACGGGCCTACCTAATCCTGTCTGTTGACCGCCGCAACACCATCGCCCAAGCCGAAGAAGTTGTCGACCTGTGCATCAAGTACCAGTCAGCAGGCGTCGTAGGCATTGATCTCTGCGGTGACCCAGCCAAGGGCGATGTTCGCATCTTCACAGACACATTTGCCAGAGCGAAAGCTGCAGGCTTGAACATGACCCTGCACTTCGCCGAAGCAAAGGTATCTGCGTCTGACATGGAGTTGGAGACGCTGCTGTCATGGATGCCAAATCGTTTAGGCCATGTCATCCACGTGAAAGAGGAGTACTGCAAAATCATCGAGCAAGAAAACATTGGTGTTGAGCTGTGTCTGAGCTGCAATGTCCACGCTAGGATGATCACCGGGACCTACAGCGACCACCACTTTGGCACGTGGAGACACACGAACGTTCCAGTGGCTCTCTCTGTATGTCTTCGCTTGCTTGCCTTGAGCTTCGCTAACGTTTGCACAGACTGATGATGTCGGCGTCTTCTGTAGCCCTCTGTCAAATGAATACGAGCTCGCTGCGCAACACTTCGACCTCAGTCGTACTGAAATACGAAAGCTCTGCGTGAGTGCTATTGAATCGATATTCACTGGTGAGGACGAGAAGACTCGTCTCCGGTCGATCTACGCAGAGTGGGACGGCTGGACAGCTTAGAGCTTGCAAATCAATTACCGATAGAATGTTTCTATCCCACACAATTCGCCTGAACGACCTCTCTGCTCACTATCTCCCAGCTTAAGTTCTTATGCACTGCACGAACTGCATTGTGTCTGGCGCTCAGTCTATTTAGCAGCGACCTAGCAGCAAAGCGATCAAGCAGGTTGACGTGCCAAGCAATTACAGTGATGCTGGAGCGTTATGTGAGGAAAATGATTTAGTGCTTGGTCAATTTTCACTATTGACAGATGTCAACGCTGCAGGCGAAATGCATATAATGCTGAGACGCTGGGTTACCATCCCTATATCGTACTCCAGGTTTTCGATGATATCCACACCCCACTTCGCTTACAAGCTCGTATTCTCTGCTCGCCATGTGACTTACCCCCCTCTCCAAACCTAATGAGTCACGACATCGTCTTCCTAAAATGCGCTTCTTCTACAGTTTCCTCCGCATTTCTTCCTCTTCCTCCAAATTAACAAGTATATATTGATAAAATTTTCTTCCGTCCTTATCGATAAAACGGCCTCATGGTGTAAGTTTAGTCCTACTGTCTCAGATCTCGAACTCCTCTCTAACAACCAATCAGCTAGTGGTATGATTCCTGCTTTGGGTCACGTGCTCAAATCTGCAGGAGGCCCCGCGTTCGAATCGCGGTGGGGCCCCGTTCTTTTTGTCGAACGAACGAAACCTGTCTTTCTTCATTGCGAGGTTTTAAGTGCAGCTTATTCTGTCACCCGAGTATTTGGCTCGGTAGAAGAGGGGATTGTTTGGGTGGAGGCTGCAAGGGGTGCACCTTTTTTTCTTAACAGATGACATGCACCCCTGGCAGCTTGGTGTTGGATTTTGTTCTCAACACATTGCTAGACTCTTAACACGGTGAAGGCTGTAAGGCGAGAAATGTCTCTTTGGTATGAATGCATTATTTAGATGTCATGATAATAGACAGGCCGTGTCCAAGATATATACATGTCAAAGCACCCTCTACTCCCAAGACGCCGACCAACGTATACCCAAACACAAGGAGACGCCCTGCGCCATCCTAACCCGACACCAAACCTTGGACCTTAAGCTTACAGACATTTTCCTTGCATACAGAAACAGTACAACTAATCTTATGAATGACACAATACCTAATACCCACGACGATCATACATATCATATCCTCCTCCGTAGCCTCCCATCCTTTCATATTCACTCGCCCTCCTCCCATGCAACGGTCTCCTCTTCTGCTCCCTGATATGCTCCAGCGCATCAGCAAGTTCTCTCATATTGACGTCATCTTGAGCGGCACGGTCAGCGAGGTATCGTGGCTCACGCTGTCCATATATAGGCTCTTGCATATCTGGGGCAAACGTGTTTGAACGCCCAAGGCGCGGCGGGTAACGCGCAGTATCGAACGGGTTACTCTGTGGAGTCTGAGCACTATTGCGGCGGTGCAGACCAGGTCGAGGTGTGAACGCATGCTCGTCAAAGTACGGCTCGCGCTGGCGGGGGTCGTGGGGGTAGTCGTTTGCTGGGTACGCGCTCCTTCGTGTACGAGGCTCTACGTCGCCATAGATGTGGCTCGGGTGAGGGTGTCCAAAGCTTTCTTGTCTGTGTGGCAGATTGCGCGATCTTAGCTTTGGTGATTGGTCAACGATGTCAGAGTGGTGTCGACTTCGGCGACCGTGACGATCGGGCTCTGAGAAGACGCTGTCATCTGCCGTGTGGACGGATGAGTTGTCGTTGAATGATGCTGTGCCGCTGTGGCGGTCCCAGGAATTAACACGCGACATTGGCTCGGCGTTGGCTTTCTCTTTCCTGTAGTCCGGTGATGAGGCACCGTGGCTGTCGCGTCGGACACGCTCGTTGGCGCGTGTTGGCTTCTCAGCCGCGGGAGTGCTCATGTGGATATGGATGGGTGGAAGCTGTTGTTTGGAAGACCGGGGAGAGTTGTCCTTCGATGACATGGGGCTGTACTTGCCCATGGGTGGAGGGTCAATGAGGTCTGAGTCGCGACGCCTTCGATGCGTCTCGGTGCGAACGTGGCTTCTGCTGCGGCTTCTGACCTTGCTGTGGGGTTTGTTGTGGCGAGACTTCTTCGATCGAGAAGACTGCCTTGAACGACCACGTTTTAGCTTGCCAATATGAGCAAACTCGCCGTGCTCAACATGGCGAACGCGAAAGCGGTCAGAACCCGAGTCGCCAGTCTCAGACTCCCACTCGTCGCTGTTTGACTCCGACTCGGAAGACAACTCCTCGTGACGACCCTTGGGCTTCTTCTGTTTCTTCAAGAAGGACGAGTCAAGGATCTCGATGTCGGGTTGTCCTGGTCTCATCGCAGGGCGGTGCACGGTATCTGGAAATGCGCCAGGCATTGGTCGGTGTTGTTGCTGCCCATGTGCTGGTGGGCGCGGCATACCATGAGCCGCACCAGGTGGTGGCGGAGGAAGATGTGACAAAGGCGTGGCACCAGGCGGCGGTGGTGGCAGATGTGTCATCCCTGGAGGAGGTGGGGGTGGAGGGGGAGCTTGACCAGGCTGAGATTGTCCGGGGGTCGGTGGGACTCGCATTGCTTGCACTGGCTGCTGAACATGTCCCATAGGTGGCTGAGCAGGGTGTGGAGGGTTTCGTAACGGTTGTGGCATCTCGTGTCCTACGTGATTTGGTTGGTGTGCAAAGGCTTGGTTTGGTTGCATAGGCTGTGGTTTTGTAGCCATAGCAGCTGCAGCCCTAATGGTCTGGGGATCCTCGTATCCAGAAGGCCCAGTCTGCAGTATGACTGAGATACGCTTAAGTTGTCGTTGCCGGCTACCCATGGACTGCTTGACGATCTTCCAGTCAATGTCAATGCTGGCGATGGTCCACTGCAGAGTCCGGTTCAAGGCCATAAGTTCTCGGTTCTGATCCTCCACGAGCTCGTTAATGATACGTCGGGCGTTTGAAGAAGGAATATCGTTCAGAACGCTCTTGATGGATCGCTTGCTTCTTTGGAATTTCTTAACATCGCTCTGAAGATCCTGGGCATTGACATGCTGCTGTTCGGCTTCGACATCCTCCCAGCCGTCGGCGCCCTTTGGTCTCTCCAAGGTGAATAGCGCAAACTGGGGGTCGTAGTTGGCATAGGGGTTCTGCAGAGATTGTTGACTCTGCATGCCTCTTTGCTGGCCCATTGTGGGTACTTGTGGTTGGGCCATTGGGGCAGCCTGTCGTTGCTGTCCAATGTTCTGATGTTGTGTAGGCACCTGAGCCGGGTGCATCTGATGCTGAGCCGGAAACTGGTGGGCCATGTTGAGATTCCGTACGGTCGTCAAGGGCAAACGGGTTGAGGTTGTAACGCTAGAAACTAAGCAAACATCAAGTCCGCTATCAAGCCAGGAGAATGGCGAGGGCTGAGAAGAGCAATTGACAAGGCAGTACTGGAGGACCAAGGCAGAATGAAGCGTTCGAAAGGTTCTATATAGACATACCTCTACCTCCCCCTGTGTCACTTAGGAACGTGTACGTTGCCCCTCCATCCCAAGGTGATGGTAACACCATCTTGATGCAAGCGGGGGTTAGGAGTCCTTCTCGGAACCGAGCCTCATGGTCGATTCGCTACTATCCGACAAACTTCTACAAGTCGTTATTGGTTGCAAACGAGGTGTTCGAACGCCCTGTTTGAGGATTGGCTGTGGTGCCACTGACCGGCCAAAGCCACCTAGCTGAAGGAGACATCTAGGAAGCAGGCAAATCGGCAGGCATCTTACCAGCTGAGCCAGCCCGAAACGTAAGGCAGAGCCTCAGAATACTCACCGGATGCCTAATGAGTCCTTAAACGTGCATGCAACCGAGACGTCGTGCAGCAGAAGGACTCGTGATGGTTGCTTAGCCATGGCCTCGGAGCAGGCTGGAAGCCGAATTGAGTTTGATGGAGGGAGCCTTGCATGCGAGCGTCTCTCTAGATCCGGTGTATTATGTCGGCATCATTTAGCGGCAGATCATGGTATTTTCAGCTGTCAAGTGAGTGTTGGCGGATTTGGCAGCCGTTGACAGTTTGGTGGAGCGCGAACGACAGTTGATGCCGTTATGCAGGCGCATTGGCCTCCTTCTGTCCTACCAAGACTTCCCGCGTTTGACGCCCTTTCAAGAGCAGGCATCTGACTGCGACACACTTAGATGAGTTTCGAGTTTGCCTGATACCTCGATATGGCTGGTGGCTTGCGCTATACGACGTGCACCTGGTCCATCTGCATATCTACCCTCGCAATTGCCAGCGCATCTGCCCTCAAACAAGGTCGTTAACGTCAGGTTTGCCTGGAGTACTGAGAACGCTCACGGAATACAGCGCATGTACGAATATGTGGTATGGAGACAAAGAATGACTGTCCTCTGTGTAAACTAGCAATTGCAAACCGTCACGTAAATCCACCTCTGCATGAAAAGGCTGATGACATTCTTTACGCAATGCTAACAAAGCGAAGGACTCAAATACGTATTTCCAAGACCGTCTTGAAGCGAGTCCAGTCCATCGAAGAAGGACCTCACATACTGCACAGTAGCTGCGAACTTGTTCGCAGTCTGCAATGCCGATCCATGCTTGCCCTTCGAGTCTGCAGCCTGCTCCACTACCATGTGGAAGTCGACACCCCGCATCTGCATGTTGCCACGTCCTCCAATGCTCACCTTCAGGCTCAGCCAATAGCCATCATAACGGCACATTAGTGAACCGGACCACAGACATGGATTCCATTTCGAGGACACCGGACGACTTGCATGCTTTGTGGTTGCATGCCTCCAACTGAAGGATTCAAATCTCAGCCTTATCACTACGATTGGCTTGATAGAGAGTGCATGTTCGAAGGACCAAGTGCTATAGGGCTCAAAGGACAGGGACCCTTGCAGGCTGTAAGTCTTCTGTCTGACGCTGATATCAAAGCGAAGGACTGTCCCACCGGACGGGGCGAGCCGCCCTTCTCACCTCACCACCGTGCCGTCCCAGAGTCCTTCACTTGGCAACATCCGTTTGAGCCATTCGTCCAAAGCTCCCGTAAGCTCGTTACTTCGGATCGATAGGAAGGCCGCGGCATCTGGATCCACACTATTCAGAAAGAGTTGCCCTGGATGGGCCAGCTGATCGGAGGCCTCACCTAGGCATTGGTCAAGATGCAACGAGTTTCTCATCGGCTACCCTGGATCATTGCAAGCACAGCCTGGACTGACTCGTAGAGTAACGAGGTGATCTTGCGCGTCTTCTTAGCACCTTTACGATCTTGAAACACAATGTTGACAGCATCATGCAACCTTTGCTGAGGATACGTGCGCAATAACACATGTCGACACAAGCAAGAGGAACGCACGACGAACCCAGAGGCTACCTCTCTACGGCCAATTCGTCCTACTGGAAGCATCATGTTGGTATTATTGGCTCCACCATCTGAAGACTCCGGGTTGTATTCGCTCACGCACAATCCGCGAAGCGAACGACCTACAGTGCTGCCGATCTTATCCAATCTACAGTAGTCGAACGACGACAAACCTTTCCGATATGTCAGCTCAGTGTCAGAAAGCAGTCGGCCCTACACAACAGAGCCTCCTGCCAGCCCAGCAACCGCAAGCGTCTCATGACTCTTCATCCTTGGCGATCAGCATGGTCATAGTGATCTGTCAGAGCCGCATAGGTCTCAGCAACGACCGCGCCCAGCAACCCTAGGATCGTAGGCACCAACATGGTCCACTTCGTCTCAGCCTCCTCTAGCAAACACTACTGACGCGTTCACAATATTCAGTTCTGCCTTGCCTGCTGTTGTAACCTACAGCCCCCCCCCCCCAAGCTATCTGTGGGTCCCATATGATCGCTTTGTACTCTAGCAATCCATCAAATACAGCTGTAATATTACCATTGGCCAACACAAAGTACCTAACAGGGGCACTGTGTGCGTTTACCTCCTTAAGCCAGTATCACTCCCACGTAGCTTCGAGAACCAACGTTGCAGTCATGAAAGCGGTGCGTCTCGGAGAAGCCTTCATGTCTTGTCCACAGCATCGAAATGATGCTCTAGTCGACCTCGAGGCGGACAGTCCATACATGCGCAAAGCACAACCCACCATTCCCGCGACACGTTACGCCCTTGAACTACGTCATCTTCGTTGCATGGTAGTCACTAACACCATCGACCTACGATCCAGCCTCTCATCCTTTGAAGTTTGCCTTACTCTTGCCGGCTTGAATCTGCCTCGTCTGCCTTTCTACCCACCTGTTAGGTTTTCTCTTTAATCGCTGCTGGCATCGCACTGCAGACATAGCCATGTACGACTAATTTCCACAACCAAAAGTGATAGCACAGCCTTGTGTTATGAGAGCAGTTTTACATACTTGCTTCTTATTATTGAAGTCACTATCAGCGAACAACTGACTCCCATTGACCATAATGTAGCACTCGAAGCAAAGAGCTCGTGTGACGACGAAGAACAAGGCGTGCAAAAAAGCACACTGAAGAAGCAATACCATCAAGACACATCGATGCAAGCCGTCGAAGTGGGTATTTACCAGCTCAACCAATTATCAAGCGTCAACGCTTGCAGAACGAATAGTGCATGAAGTCGGGTCATGATAGCTGTTGTACCCGCCAACCTGTAGTGAATGGTCAACATTCATCATGGGAAAAGGTCTGTAGCCATCGCACAGAGTCTACATCGAATACCTTGTCTGCGACATAAGCGCAAGGAGTTCGCAAGATAAGTTCCAAGATGATAATGCATACATAGATCGATTCCGTCAGCTTGGCAGACAGAAGGCCATCGCTGAGATGCCCAGGAAACGCGTGGAATGCGCATGGGTTCTTTCACCAGAACACTGCTCAAAGTATCGAGTCTCGAGTGAGGTGCACGAGCGATGCAATGACGCGGTTGTTGATGATGCTTTGGGCTAAGGGAGCTAGGACCAAACCTTAATGGTTCGCGGAGCAGGCACGCGTCGCTCACCAACATCCCCGCCGCCGCATCACCACAGCTGCCATTGAGCTCGACGCGCCTTTTCTTTCCACTTCGCCACTTTCCTGCCAAACTAATCCACATAGAGCGCGCAACCATCATGAGCGCGGCAGTTGTGGCGTCTGAGGCCGGCGATGCCACCTCGTCAAGCTCGCGACGTAAATCTGGACGCGTAACGAAGAAGCCCGAAAAGTTTACACCAGGCACAAGTCCAATAGGGACCTCCAAAAGGAAGCGCGGCGACGATGATGACAGCGGCGTTGACGCGGACGAGCCAATATCAGAAGACGAGGATGAAAGCACAGAAGGCGAACCAGATGAGGAGGAACTGAGAGAGCGACGGCGCAAGAATAAGAGCAAAGCGCCTGCAAAACGGCCTGCGCCGAAGAAGCCCAAGACGAATGGGAAGAGTGTGACACTGGCGATGCGCCCCGCGACAAGCGCGTCGAAGAAGTCCAGCAGACCGCGCAAAGCACTTGTTCGCAAGAGCATCCTCGCTGAAGACGAGGCGGAAGGGCTCTATGGTAGGCATATGGTGTGCAGGTATACAATAAATGAAGCTGACGCGCTACAGCCGACGTGTTTGCCAGTGGCGACCGCCTTGAGGATGTCGCGGCGCGTTGGGTCGCGCGATTCAACGAGCACGAGGCGAAAGCTGTCGCTGAGATCGTCAACTTCGTACTGCGCGCCGCCGGCTGCAGCCTTCGCATCGACGAAGATGACATTGCCGATCCAGACAACGCGCCGAGTCGCGTGGCGGAGCTGCAAGAGGAGTACCAGGCGCAGGACGTGACAGAGTACCCGCTTATCGCCAAGGCGAAGGACGGTGGCGGCCAGGCTTTCAGGCACGCTTTGCACCGCTTCTTCCTCACTCTCGTCCAGAGCATCGCGCAGTCAGGGCTCATGTACGAGAACCAGGAGTTGCTCGAAAACATCGCCGTCTGGATTGGCGCAATGTCCTCGAGTGCCAACCGACCGTTCCGCCACACAGCTACAGTCGCGGCGTTAGCGATCACGACAGCACTTGCCTCGGTAGCGGCAGATATCGTCGAAAACACAGCGAAGAAGATGCGACAGAGCGAATCTGAAGTGAAGAAGTCGCGAGTCAACAAAGCTCGCGTTTCTGCGGCAAATCAAGAGGTCGAGGACTACAACGCAAAACTGGAGTCTGTGGATGGCGCACTCAACGACTGGTTCAGTCTGGTGTATGTCCACCGATACCGTGATGTGGACCATCACATTCGAGTGGACTGCGTTGGAGCACTGGCAGACTGGATCATCACATACCCGGACAAGTTCTTCGATGGCAGCCATCTGCGCTATCTCGGCTGGGTGCTTTCAGATCCCAACTCACCCACGAGAGTCGAAGTGCTGCATCAGCTTGCGCGACTATTCAAGGACAAAGACAAGCTTGCTGGGTTGAAGACGTTTACAGAACGCTTCCGGCCTCGAATTGTCGAGATTGCGACTCGAGATGCAGAGAACAACGTGCGTGCCGCAGCAGTCGATCTCCTAGACATCCTTCGCGAAGCTGGCTTCCTCGAGCCAGATGACATTGACTCGGTTGGCAAGCTCATCTTCGACGCTGATGCCAAGGTGCGCAAGTCAGTTGTTGGCTTCTTTGCCGAGAACGTCAACGCTGCGTACGAAGCTATTGTCGATGATATGGGCGGCCAAGAAGCTCTCGATGAGGCATTGGGATCGCCAGACGATGAAGATGAAGAGTACCAGAATCCGCGGTTGGAATGGCTGAAGCTTAAGTGTCTCGTTGACCAGCTTCTTTCGTACGACGAGGACGAAAACGAGTTACCAACCCAGATCGAGCGAATCTCACATACAAGCGCAGAGCTGGGGCTAGTCGCGGCCGGTGTTGAGTCGCGATACTCGTTAGCTGCTCAGGCGCTGTACGAGGCGATCCCTGAAATCAGATCTTGGGAAGTGTTGGCAGGTTACTTGCTCTATGACCACACCCAGACTGCGCAGCATGGCGGCGACGATGCGGAGGCTATGCTGCGACAGAACTGTCAGCTCGAAGAGAAGCACGAGACTGCACTACTCGACATCCTGAATGCAGTCGTTCGTCTTCGATTGCAGCGCCTGGCTGAAGCACAGACAGACAGGAAGAAGACGAAAGCCCAACGCGAGAGTGACCAGGGAGAGCAAGCAGAAATGGCGAGGAAACTCACATTGCTCATTCCTGACCTGCTGAAGAAGTTTGGTGCGCTGCCTGAGGCTGCGGCACTGTGCCTTCGTCTCGAGCGCGAATTGAGTCTGGATGTCTTTGAAGAGCTGCGACAAAACACGGCGTTGACCGCGCTGCTCGACGATATCAACAAGCAGTTCCTGACACATCACAACGAGCGCGTCCTGATCGAAGCTGTCGGATCAATGTTGCATGCGCAGGAGAATGAGGAGCTCAAGGAGATGATTCATCTCAAGATCCAAGCTCTCTGGGACGACCTTATCAACACATTTGACGCGTTACGGCGTGGAAAAGACTTCTCAGCATGTGGCAACCTCGACCAGAACATCCTTGTTGGCGTCTCGAACATCGTACTGAAGATTGCTCAACTCAGCAAAGTTTCAGACGCGGCGATACTCGACCAGATCGTTGCGCCAGCAAATTCGAGAAGCAAGTCAAAGAAGGCTGCACTAGATTCGCCACCTATCGTGTCTGTACTACAGATCCTGGATCGTGGCTTGCCATCCAACGATCTAGACGCAGAAACGAACGAAGCAGAGGACTCCCTCGTTCGTCACGCTATGTCGGTGTTGCTCACATACTTTGTCTGGAAATGCAAAGAATGCATGGACCACATCGAAGCGGGGACTACCATGCCTGACGACGACCTCACAACTCTAGTCGAGAGACGAGACGCGTGCATAACATCGCTCATGACTATCCTCGAAAAGCGCAAGGGTGCCGACAACGTGCGTCTCGAAGCCGCCAACCTCCTCCTCGACATCTACAACATGTTCCGCTCGCTAAAAGTCAAGAAGGCGAAACTCAGCCGTACGCGCAAGAAGCCCCAAGGCCGTGCTTCAAGAGCGAATGAGGATGATGCAAGCGACGACTGGGAAGCCTTGGCGCAAGACATCGACACCCAAACAGTAAAGATCCTGATGCAGATCCTTACTGCAACAGAGAACAACCTCGCCAAACTGGCGAACAAGCGCCTCGAAGAACCCGACGTGGACGATGACCCTATCGACCCTGATGACGAGCCAGAGTCCGATGATGAAGACTCAGAGGATATACGCACACAAGAAGACAAGCAAGTCCGCTTGCTCATCGCCGAAGAGCATCTTTGCCAATACGGCGGACGCATCGTGCACGCCTACCTCGTCGGCAGCTTAGGCGCTGAGGGCGGCGAAGTGGTGAAGAAGCGGTTGGAGAGGAACAAAGCGAAGCTGACGTCGACATGGAAAGAGGTAGTGAGCCATCTCGATGCACAGAGGTTCGTCAAGAAGCCAAAGAAGGCGCCTGCCAAACCTGCTGCGAAGGCAGGGAAGAGCAAAGAGATCGTCATTGAGAGCGATGAGGAAGATGAGGTTGAGGTACCGGGTGATGAGATTGAAGACGAGGAGATGGCGGATGCTGAGCAGGAGGAGCAAGTGAACGGCGCTGAGGCTGAGGAGAATGGGGCGGAGAGAGAAGCCGATGAGGAGAGCATTCTGGGCGATTAGAGGGGTGGCACACGTGGGAGCATCATGCTCGATCTGTTGTATTACCCTTTTAGCGTTTCGTATAGCTTCACAAGGGTACATGGCAGGCTGAGCGTTCACGCTGGCGCTGAGGCGTTTTGTCAAGCAAGCGCTGTAGATGTTTGTTTTCGTGTATGATCAAATTCGAGGTGCTTCAACTTTGACTACTTTTATTTGGAGAAACAACCGTTTGCTAGCAGGCAATACCTCAAGTGATAGAAGGTAATCAGCATATGCTTGCTGTCATATTGTCCACTTGCAAGTAGCTTGGAGACTACAAGTAAGTTCGGGTTTGATCCTCAGCCATGACTTCTCTGATGATCTCTAGACTTGGATTCTCAGGAGGGTTCTTGTCTGCAACGCGAGAGGACGGTTCATTTCCATCGTCCCCACATTGTAAGCGAGACCGCATAAGACGTAGATGACTGCAGATTCAACTAGAAACCATGCAGTAAGAGCCCCTACATTACATATCGATGAAATGTTGCACGTGATATACCAGAAAATAGAGAGTGAATGTTGTCATCACGTGATTGAGGGGTCATGGCTTAGTGGTAAAGCGTCCGCTTTGCATTGCCTTAATTGCAAGGTTGCGGAAGGTCCGGGGTTCGATCCCCCGTGGCTCCATTTTTGCTTCATGTTCGGATTATTTCGATGTTCTAGCGACGAATTGGCTTTATCTTTCGAATCAAATTAGGCAATTTCCCGTGTTGTAGTAGATCTTGGATGTAGTAGCGGCCAAGTTTCAATTTTGAAGAGGGAGCGTGGAGGCCTTCATCCACTGTTAGACTCTTGTGTATTATCTTTTGTTACGTGCAAGCTACCTCGTGGCTTTGCATCCGCATAATACAGTGGATTTTAGGAACACTGTGTGGAGTTGGTACACCCCTTCCGCTCGGAGCGGTCGTTTGGCAAATGACGTTCCCGGTCACATGACCAATGACCATTGGTGCTTGTAGGTGATGACAACAAACCTAATGTTGAGGGTTGTGATTCGGGTACATTCCTATGCAGACTGATCGAATGACATTCGTCTCATTATTCCTGGGTATCACTTTCCACTACGCCTTCGCCTTCGCATTTCCCTCCCCCTTCTTCGCCGCCATTAACTCCCTATACGTATCGATGATGGTCTTACGCTCCTCACCCAGCTCTTCACGTTTCCTCAAGCTCCCCACCGCGCTCGGGATATTATTCACATTGACCTTCGCCCCATTTTTAACCTTGAAGATCTCCCTCGGCACCTTACTAAACGTCGGCGGCGCATGCACAACATCATGCAACCCCTTCCTCTGCTCCCTCTTCTTCTTCAGCGCCTCCCACTCATCCTCACTATGGTTATCCACCTCGCCGACGACCTTCTTCCGTTTCGCTGCCTTGCTCTTCTTTCCGTTCGCTCGTAACCCAGGTACGTTGCCCTCGGTCTTGTCTTCCCAGATTAGCGCCTGATCGTCGCGCTCCTCTTCTGCGAGTTCGGCTTCCTCGGCTTCCTTCTCGCGGATCCGCGCTTCTTCTTCGCGCCATCCGGCTTGCAGTTTCTTGAGGCGCTTTTCGTGTTTCGTTATGCGGTGGTCTGCTGCGCCGGCGATTTTCTTGCCGGATTTTGCGATGCCGGTGAGTGGGAGGGCGGCGTCGACGCGGGAACTGTATTCGGCCATCGACTCGCCGGGTTGGATCTTGGGGATCTGTTTTGCTTCGGCGGTTGCGTTTGCCTTGTTCATGGTGGACTTTGTCTCGTCGTCTGAGCCGGGGTTTGCGGATTGCTGGGCTGCGCGTTTCGCGGCGGCTTTTTGCTTCTTAGAGAGCACGAGGCCGTCGTCGAGAGCGGAGCGTTTCTTGTTGGCGCCGACGCCGCCTTGTGAGAAGGCCATTAGCCGTTGGAACGCTTTGGGTGTGTCATCTTGCCCGTAGCCCTCGATGTGGGCTATCTTGCGCTTCTTCGATTTTGTGTTGGTGTTTGCGGTCTTGCCTTTGCCGACTGGGAGAGGCGCAGCGCGAGATGTGGGTGGGAGATCGAAGCTGCGAAAACGTTAGTACGAAGTCCAGAGACACAGCATTCTAGTGTGCGCGGAGGCTGAAACATACTCCGACGCATCACCTGCTTTGCGCTTGTGTTTGTGTGGCATTGTTGTGACAGCGTGTTGTGAACGTCGTTATACTTCAGATGGTGAGCTTCGCCGTGTCGCAAAACTTCCACACAATCGTTGCAGGGGTCATGCGCTTGTGGAGTTAAGCTTTTGGGAAGTGGACCCTAGCTCCGTCTCAACGCACGTGAACTTTTCGTTCACCCCACCTGCCTCATCGATCATCGTCACAAAGCCTCATCGGAGATATCTCGCTCTGGGGCTCGACCTCCGGTGCGCAGATTGTGGCTTGAATGGTGTCATGCACCGCCGTGCTCTGGTTCGTAAAGCGCGGAGAAACTGTCTCGAGGTTCCTGTGCCCCGCAAATCTAGACCGTCACGAAGGTAGGAAATGGTATTTGGAACACGCGGAGAGCCGCCCGCGGGCGGACGTCTACCGCTAGCGATACAATCTGTACAGCCTCAGAACCTGGGGTGAGGCTGATCACGCATGTTTGCACCAATTGTGCGATTTCCCAAGCTTCGAATCGAGGCCCTTTTGTTGCTGCCCATTCCGTCAGGCACAATGGCGGGCCCGCATGCCGTGCTTGCCTCGATCCACAAGAATAAAGAGTAGCACCAAAAGATTGTGGGTACCAGAGGAGATCGTGTCGCGATCACTCAACATCTCTGCGAACGGTATCCTTTGTATCAACATCGTGTCGACGATCACTCATGATCTGCCTTCGTGACAGCATCTTCAACCACATTCTTCGAGTCCTAACACCAGGCCGCCTCCACCTCTGCAAACCACAGGCCAACAATCCTCCTCGTGTTGCGAGCTCGAGGCGGCTGTCAGCGTTCTACCGCTCGCACTTGGCAGTGTAGATTGGTAGGACTCTCGCACCAATCACACCCTCTCCTGCCGCTACGTGCATCGAAGTAGCCCGTTACAACAGGCCGAACCCACCACGAGGTCGAGAGCATCAAGCGGACATCGACCGCCTGGGCGCCCGCCACAAGCTCTCCAAGACTCGATGAAGTGCATGATAAATGCAGCTACCCCCAGATCCCTCAATTTGAGATCATCTTCATCATCGAACGGACTTGACGGCCTGCGAAACGAACACAAACCACGCGCGACGCGCAACGCTCTATTTCCAGCATCAATTGGACTCTGATTGCGCGACTTTCTTGTCCTGTCGAGCAGTTGCGGACCACAGACCGTTCTTGATTCAGCGCTACTGTTCGCTCGGTTTGGAATAGACCCGGGGTTGGGATCGCAACAGTCTGGATCGTCTCCCCAAAGTTGTGGCGCTTGCTCCGAGTTTCGTTTCGGAAGGTGTCTTAGGGTGCGGGCAGCTCGTAAGGATTTGAGTCGCAGCCACATATACGGCTGTCTGGCCGACGATTTTGGTGTTGCAACATTCGAATACCTTTGACGTTGGATCGGCATTTGGATCTCTCATCCACTCTCACGTTCTGTCAGGGTCCGATCTGCGGTAGGGATCGTCATTCGTCACCAATCTGACTGCCATGGCTTCCGACAGCGCCGAATTGCGGGTCGCCTCGCCCAGCACTCAACCTCTCTTGCACCATCATCTCACATCCGACTTCGACATTTCGCGGGCAAAAAGCCCACTGCCAGGCAAAGAGTTCTCAACCGTAACAGAAAGGGCTCTGAGGGATGGCGACATTTCAGACTTGGATAGTGAGGCGTCATTAGGATCCCACCCCACGTTTTGGGGCCGTTGTTTGATGGCTGCCCGGAGGAGGCGGCCTTCCTTTCCAGGAGTCGACTATGAGAGTGGAAGACTACCGGCTTTCGAGAGGAGAAGGAGAGCAAAGAAATATGTATGGAGAAAGAGACACGGCGCGTGGGGGTGTATGGGAATGGTGGGCTTCGTTGTGCTCTTCTTGTAAGTGGTCCTTGTCTGCCGCGTGTACGGTGTACGCCGGCCATGGCTTTTCCGGCCTTGTGGCTTCACACCACCCCTCCGCGGGGCTATATCAACACCATGCTAACAATCCCAGTGGTTGTGTACACATCGTCAACGTGTTCCTGGGGTACCTTCCCCTGATCCACGATGACCCTGCCGCCTTTGCCCTGGACTGGACCCAGCCCGACCAAGCCTCCACAGACATGGCATCATACCTCCTCGACATCACCAAAGACGTAACCCCCATTCCCTGTCACTCCCACAACGACTACTGGCGCCGCGTTCCCCTCTACGATGCACTTCGCTGGGGCTGCACCGGTGTGGAAGCCGACGTCTGGCTGTTCGACGAGGACCTCTTCGTCGGCCACAGCACGCACGCACTCACCCAAAATCGCACCTTCCGCTCCATGTACGTGGACCCACTCGTCAAGATGCTCGACCACAAGAACGAGAACACCACCTTCCTCTCCACCTCAGACCTCACTTCAACCAACAAACTCGGCGTCTTTGACACCGCACCCCAACAGACCTTAGTCCTGCTTGTCGACTTTAAAAACAACGGATCCCAAATCTTCCCCTACGTGTCTAGCCAGATCTCCGCGCTGCGCGAGAGGGGGTATTTGACGTACTATGATGGCGAGAAGAGGGTCGAGGGTCCAATCACCGTCGTAGCAACGGGAAACGCGCCGTTCGACATGGTCGTTGCTAACTCGACGTACCGCGACATTTTCTTCGACGCGCCGCTCGACCGGCTGTACGTCGAGCCCAAGGGCGAGGAAGGTCAGGACCAGGCGCAGTACGATGACGGCGATTCGACATCGTCTTCCTCCGTTTCGACCACTGGCCAGGGTACCGTCGGCACAACGCCCGATTCTCACTTCGACTCCACGAACAGCTTTTACGCGAGTACGAACTTCAGGAAGAGCGTCGGGCGTATCTGGTTCGGACATCTTAGTCACAAGCAGCGCGAGTTGATCCGCGGCCAGATCAAGGGTGCTCACGAAAGAGGGCTTAAGGTGCGATACTGGGGCGCGCCGAAGTGGCCCATTGCTCTGCGAAACCGTGTCTGGTGGGACCTAGTGGACATGGGTGTTGATTACCTCAACGGTGATGATTTGGCGGGGATGACGAAGTTTGACTGGAGCATCCACAGGCATTGGGGGTGGTTTGAGTAGGCGACGGAAGGAGACCCCTGGCGGGAGAAGATGAGTGACGAATTCTACGAGCGTTATGATGGCGTTTGGTTGTTTGATACCCATCTTTTGGATGGAAGAGCATTGTTAGACTAGCATTAGATCTAGATCAAGCCAGCAAGACCTGACAACACAACAACTTCTTCCGATGATGCAGTGAACACCATGTCCGTACAGAGCCTCAGACGAGCTGTCAACACAAGACTATCGATACACCTCAGATGATTTCATGTTCTCATGCTCTCATATTCTATCATGTCTATCCTATACATAAATCCGCCAAGTCACCGTGCTTATGCAATATAAGCATACAGCCCATCCTCCTCCCTCTCCAAAAACTCCTTCTCAATCAATCGATCAATATTTCGCTTAATCCCAGCCACCTCCAGCGTCCCCCTATTCCTCGTCGCCTTGATCGTCTCAGCCACCAACTCTGCATGACTGATCCGCTTCCTCGCCTTCAAGATCCGCACGATCGCGGCTTGCGTTTCGTAGTTCCGGTCAGCCGCGACGCGCTCGTGGGTTTCTTTGTTCTCCGCCGCGGTTTCCTTCAATTGGACGGTGTTGATTTTGATGCGGTATTTCGGGTCGCTGAAGGAGGCGTTGAGCGTGAATGTGTCAGTGGGGGAGATGTCCCGGCCTTTGGGATGTTTGGTCAACGGGCGCAGTTTTGCGCAGGCGAGGGATTGGAGGGTGCGGTTTAGTTCTGTGGGGGCTGGAGGATATTAGCATGAGGTCTGAGGGAGTGGTGGGAGGAGACTTACGCAGGCCGGTGGCCTCCTTGAGGTAGCTGTACTCGATGTGTTCGTCTGCTGGCTTGCCGTTGAAGAAAAGCAGGACGATGGCTTGGAAGGAGGACACTACGAGCTCCTTGTTGCCCTTTGGGAATTTGGCTTTGATTTGGCAGTGAGCGAGGGCGTGCTTGAATTCGAGCTTGCGGCCGGAGTGCTTGGACTTGTAGTGTGTCTCAAACTTATCGATGGCTGACTTGATCTCCGGAGGTATGATTACAGGGACTGTAGGATATGTGGGCCATGAAGACGCGGACAAGATGTTGACGTTCAGGTCGAGGCTTTGCTTGTGGCCACGCTCTTCGCAGATCATCTTGTAGGAAGCCATTTCTTCGCGGGAGAGCTCAATGTCACGGAACATTTGCTCCAGGTTAGCTGTAAAGCCGGCACCACATTCTGCACAATGTCAGTCCAGTGTATGGTGTGTGGTCAAAGGGCGCTTACCTGTCTTCAGCCTTGAAAGCATACTTCTCTCAGCATCTGCGCTCGCACTCCTGCCCATCAACAGCCGTCTAGCCAAATCCTTCTTATAGAAGGCTTCGAACACGGCCTTGCCGTGAACAAATCGGAACAGATCCAGGACTTGATCTAGCTGGTCGTTGACCTCAGTATCCTCATCGAAGATCGCTTCCTCGTTGTCATCCTCTGCGTCTGCCACATCCAGCTTGGTAGACGCCCTCCGGCTAAGCTGCGCCGGAATAGCCTTCGCGCCTCCTCGCAACAGCATATCGACGTACTTGGCAATCATCTCACCAGTCTTTGAGTTGTCTGTGCCCCAGCTCGCACTCGTCTTCTTCGTCTTGTTCATGAACGTCTCAAAAGACTCGCGCAGCCCGCGACCAAGTTCATCATTGCGATGAAAAGCCACTTTCCAGAAGGTATCCAGTTGTCGTTTGAGGGTCAGGAGCTGAATGACCATGTTCTCTTGTTCCTTGTCGTTGAACACAATGGCTGTGCCTTCGTCCTCGATCCACTTCGTAAACCCCAGTCGTAGTTTACTACCAAGTCTCCGTCGCTCAAGCAGCGAGTACAGCAGCTCAAGATCCTCAACAGAGTTCGCTTCGAGAAGATCCGCAAACTCGTCTTGGTTGATGAGCCTCTCTTCCTTTCTCGAGATGAGGTGGTCCTCTAGCAACGCGAGAAGATTACGCTTTGTGGTATTCGGCAGCCTGTACAAGTCCGCTCTCTGCATCTCACGATCCATAAGCGCCCTCGCACTTCGGACATACTCGGGCAACGACCTCCGCTCACTCTCAGCATCCGCCCATTTCATGACGTATTCCTGGCTGAACTCAAGCAGCCGTGGCTCGAAGTGTTGCGTGTAGACGTGCATATCGTGGAACATGTCCACGGTCTTCTTGAACATGTCGCTGTCCAAGTCGCCGCCCGTTCGATCAGCAGCAACCAGATCACAAGCGCCATCGACAATGCGTGGGTTGAGCTTTGCATGCTCGAAGATGATGGAGCGGAAGAGGCCCACCGAAATGTCGCGGAGGGACTCATGTCGTGGAAGCAGGTACGATCGATCGAGGTAGCAAAAGATCCAGTCAAGATACTGGACCTGGTCGTACCATGTGCTCCAAGCCTGAAGCGTTGCCCGCAGCACATCGACGTTTGTTCGGCCTAAGCTCTCCTTGACCTTGGTCTTCAGCGCGCCGCCTACGTACTCCTTGCACTTCTTGACGAGCCTCTCCTTGATGTCACGTGCCATGTTCTGCCGGCAGAGGTTCTCGACGCCGCGGTATAGCTCCTCAAGGCTGAAGTCGATGTCGTCTTGCTTGAAGATGGTGTCCAGCGCACCCTCGATCTTCTGCCACGTCTGGTCCAGAAAGGCTTTAGGATCGACCCGGCGTGTAGGCTTGAAGTTCTTGACCACCAACCGCTTAGGCCCAGCGTTGACGCCCATGTTCGGCGCCGTCTTGCGAATCATGCCGTTGCGAGGCTTTGCAGGGCTGTTGTCTGGGCTGGAGGTGATATCTACCACCTCTTTGCCACTGACTACGCTCGCCCGCTTGCTGGGGAAGCTGTACATGTCGGCAGTACTCATGGTGCTTGTTGTGACGGGGGTGGCGGCTTCCCGAGGGGAGCTCTCTCGGCGGGTACGTTTGTTCGTCGGAGAGAGCGGAGCGGTGGCGGCCGAGTTAGGCTTCTGCTGGGCAGTGAAGGACAGCTTCTGCTGAGTAGAAACAGAGTGCTTCCGTTTCAGCGTGCCAGAGTCGGCGGAGGACATTGAACTGGCAGTTGCAAGGTGCGGAGATGTGGAGGTCTGCGCGTCGATGAAGCTCGGCTGCTAGGATGACGCGCCACGCTAGTGCTGCGGCTGCATGGCCATGATAATGATATTGATAAGAGCTGCTTTGGTTTGCTGTTTCGTTTCTGCCAGTATTCGCGACTTGATATCTTGGTGGCTCAGGTGTTAAGATTTAGGAGGTTCGGTCTTCTGCTTCGACGCCACTGATGTTGTGTTGTACGCCGTGCGTGACTTCAGCACGCTTTGCACTTGGGTAACCGGAGATAGCGGCAATAGCACTCTGGTGTGCATCGATTGAAGCCGCAGTGTTCATTTCTAGAGTGTACAAAATAGACAAAGTGTAGTCTCTCCAACCCTCTCGTGGTATCTTAACGCCCAAGCACCATGCAATCTATGCCCAATAGTAGAACCTACACACAAACCCATCCCACCATTCCCACGATGCCTTCGCCTCTAGAACAAACTCCACCCACCGCCCTGCTTCTTCATCCTCTCCCTCTCCTCCCTCCTGCTGACCGCCCTCTTCTCCCTCGCCTCAAGCTGCCTCAATCCTTCCATCTCCTTGAGCACATGCTCGAGCAGATCCTTTCTTCTAACAACATCCAGATGCCTCTTGATCTTTGGATCTTCGCGGGCGAAGCGGTCAATCTCGTCCTGACTCAACCCTCTGCCTAGGCGCGCATCAAGCTCGCGGGGGAGCTGGTAGTAGAATTTCGAGAGTAGCTCGGCGTCGAGGAAGAGATCGGCGGTGGTGGTGAGTTTGTCTGCGACGGCGTCGAGGAAGACTTCGGGACAGTGGTATTTGTTCTTGCGAGTGGCGCATTGTTTGGATTTTATGGCGAGGATGCGGAGTTTTAGGACGTCGACGCGGTCGCGGAGGAAGACTGCTTCCCTTCCTGCTCTCCTGTCAGCTTTGCTCCAGTGCACGGAATTTGACGGGGTTTGGAGGTGTACCTTTCGACAACAGCGCCTGGCTGAACCCCCCAGCACCACCCACACCATCACCTTCGAGAACGACTTGTCCGCTACGCACGCGGTCGATGAAAGACATCACATCCTTGACCTTCTTGCGTCCGCCCATCATCTCTTCGAGGCGCTTGCTCGCTGCTTCCGCGACCTTGAGTTCTTCTTTCAGCACGGCAGTGACGTTCTCGCGGCCCTTAGCCCACTCGTTGTCTTCGAGGTCGATGCGGTATTTGTACGGCTTGATGCAGATCTCCAGCTCATCTGAGATATCGTAGGACAGGTCTTTGAGGATGGATGTCGATGCTTCGGTGATGGCTTGGCGCGCGAAGGGGTGCGCTGCGAAGCGCGAGTTGGAGATGAGGTACTCGATGTTCCTTTGGAGTGCGTTTGCGACGACGCTGGTTGCGAGACGGCCTACGCCGAGTTTGGTTAATGCGGCGCTGGAGCTATCGAGCTTGATCTTCCAGATCGAGTCTTCGCCTTCAGGATCCGCCTTCGCGAGACTGCTGAGGGGATCGGTTTCGGGGAAGGGAGAGCTGAGGTCGTCGAACGGGCGGTTCCAGTAGCGCTGGGCGAGGATGTTGAGGACTTGTTGGTCTAGCTCGTGCTTGAGGAGTTCGCGGACCTCGCGGCGGCCAAAGGACTCTGTGAAGCCCCGGAAGGAGTGCTTGAAGCCGTCGAGAGACTCGGCGAGGTACGACTCGGCGCTCAGTGGGCGCTCGTTGTATTGGACCTTGAACTCGTATGTCGCTTCGGCTAGCTCGCGCTGGATGGCTTCGCTCGTTGTCTTTAGACTGGCTGCCATGGTCTGCTCGAGCACGTGCATAAGTTTCTTCTTGAGGTTACTCGTGCCGACATCGAGCTGAGCTTCGGGTGCAAACTCAGCGTGCGAGCTGAAGTATGCGTTCTCGTTCTTCGCAATGGCATTTTGGATGTTGCCGCTGCCGCGGTGGAACAGCTTGCCGCCACCTGCACCGGCTGGCACACGGCATATGACACCCACGTAGCCAAGTCGCAGAGCATACTTCTTGTCGTTCAGCAAGCTGACGGCGCGTTCAGGCTCAACGAGATCCATCTTGGTGATGACTCCAATCGTCCTCTCGCCGCGTGGGTCGACCTTCCTCGACGCTCGCAACGCAGTACTGTTCGCCAGATCCACATCCGCTGCTGAGATGGCAAGGATAACGTTGGGCGCCCTGATGTACTTCTCACACAGCTGCGAGATGCGCTCCTTGAGCGCTGGGGGCTGGTCCCGTCCCACAACCTGTATGTATCCGGGCAGATCGATCAACGAGAGGTCTGGTACGTTCGGTGAGTGGATGCGCAGTTGGATAGGATCGTCCGAAACGCAGTCGGACGCAGGCACAGCCAGGTTCAGATCCGTCAGTGTTCTCTGGATCTGGCTGAAATCTGTGACCTTCCCCAACCCCAGCGCAGGGAACTCTCCATATTCGGCTTGCGCGTCGGGTGTATTCACGAGCGTCAGTTCGATCGGGCGCCGCGTGACCATGTTGTGGCCCTTAGGGAGGAACTCGTGTCCAACGATAGCCTCCAAGACCGAGCTCTTTCCTGAAGACTGAGAACCAATGACAACGATCGACGGCAGTGTCAGCGAATCTGACTGCCCAACCGTCTGCAGCAGCCCGCGAATCTCGATCATCTTCTTGGTGAGCATCATCATCTGCTCGTCCCGTGCGATCTTCTCCGCCTCCTGCTTATCTTCGCCGTCTTCTTGCCCGTATCCAAAAGCCGCTGCTGTCGAAGCACCTGCCGCCGCAGTACTAGCACCGCTCTTCTTGGGCTCTTCGGGTCCTTGTCCGCCGCCATTGCTGCCTCCAGCTCCCCCAGACTCATCCGTGGCGAGCAGCTTTTGCAGCCATTCGGGGTAATCTGCCTTCTCCAAGTCGTCCTTCGTCTTGCGCCAGCCTTGGTCAATTTGGTCGAAGAAGCCGTTTACGGTATCGAGCGCGCCGCCTGCGACGGTGCTCACGCCATCTTTTGCGCGGCCAAAGATATCGATGGCAAAGCTTCCTGCCTCTATTCTATGTCAGCTTGGTCTTTCTTTTGAGGCCTGCTTTATACTCACGGCCAGCTTGATATTGGATGTACGAGACGCCCGCAATGACAGCGCCTCCTGCAGCTGCACCAGCTGTCGCGAGCTTGGTGACGAGCTTAGGTACTACCCGTGCGAAGGATATCGACCGTGTTGCAGGGAGATTGTGAAGCGCATAGCTGCCGAGTGGCCATGGTCGTCGCTTTATGAGGCGGAGGCCAGCTTCGTTTCGTAGCAGACCGCCTGCGGGCAGCGCATGTGTCGTATATAGGCGTGGGGTGTGCAGTGCTGTTCGGCGCGCAAGTGTCGTGAGACGTGCAGTCACGAGCCTGCCGCTCATGGTGATGAGGTGTGCTAGGTGTTCGGCTGCGCGTAGGTCATAGGACTCGAAGTTGCCCCCGTCGTGCAGTCTTGGCGGTGTCTTTGCTTGTGATGCCTGGTGTTTCGGCCAATGTTCGTCACTTCCGCTTGGGCCAGGCCAGGCAAGGCATCCCATGTGGGATAGGGCTGACTGACATCACAGCCTTGTTTCTCACAGGGTGCGCCTCATGCAACACCAAGATGATGGATTGTGTATATACAAGTGAGGTCTATGGGTATCGTCTGTCTATTTCAGACACAGCAGCGCTCGCTCTCCAAATGCATCCAACACAGACCCCTCCTCCTGGATCATAGCCCGCAGCCAATTCCGCGAACCCTCTACCTCCATGCTCGCGAACTTGACCAGCACAAAGTCGCGTACATTTGCAGCGCTCCAAACAACACCATCCTTGGTTTCTCTGCTCTGCCTTTCCGTACGTCGTTGTTCCTTGCTGGACGGCTCCGCTTGCACCGCATCGCCCCAATTCCTGCCACCAATGCGCGGAAGCGCCTCAAACTCGTCCAAGAAAAACTTCGCCAGCGATGCAAAGACAGGCCCCCTGACGATGAGCGTGCCAAAGACGGAGAACCTGTCCATGCGAGAAGAGAGGCGCATGTCTGTTCGTCCGTGCTTATCCAGAATCAGGTTATCTCTGAGCAGCAGCCTCTTCTTACCCGAGGCCTCTGTAGTCCACACTTCATTCCGACTCTTGTACTCATAGATGTCCCAGTTCTCGCCTCTTGCTGAGCGGCCACTGGTCACCCAATCGCAGACGCATAAGCTACCTTGGCCTTGGTCCAGATGGTAGATTTGCGATTGTGAGAATGCTGTGTGCGCGAAGGGCTGCACCGGGTCCGGCAGGTACATCAACGCGGCACCATGCTTCAGGTGAACGTTCATGCGCTGGTGAGAGACTACTTGCGGATCGTCCGTCTTGAAGATTTTAGTCGAGCCTTGGGTAAGAAGCAGGAGCCGGGTCTTATGGTCCAGATGCACGTCCAAATCTATGCTGTCTCCAGCGACGATACCGCCCCCATAGGTCAACAGAAATACTATGTGGATAAGCCGAGGCGTGTCTGTTTCCCCAGAGTAGTTTGGTGGGGGTAGAGGATCTGGAGCGATCAACTTCAAAGGGTACTGGTAAGAGACAGTCTTGAGTACCGGCGTGTTTGGTGGAAGAATCTCGACAATGATGGAGCCATGGCCGGGTTTCGACGTGGACTTGGCGAAAGGAGAGGTAAATGACATGGCGGGGTGCTATCTTCTGTTGGAGTCGAGCATCTTTTGACTTGCAATCCGAACGTGCGTGTTCCTAGGTGGTTGTTCTGGGTAGAGATGACAATGTCACGTGTGGGGCAACATAATGAACAAAGACTATAGCTACACGTAGAGAGCAAGTGAAGGACAATTACAGGGTTGCGCTTTGCACTTGGCTTATCCACGGTTGCGATAAGCCGCCAAGCGAAACTCTTTACCCCTCCTGTTGTCCGCCCTCCGTCCTTCGCTTCCGTATCCACCTTTGTGCATGCAGCGCGCGCCAAAAATTCCTCAGCTTTGTTATCCCAAAATTCCAGAAGGACGCCTTCCGGAATCGAACTTGCGAGCTTTCTCCCATGTTGCTACTATCGCAGTGAGCAAACGGTTAGCCTACCATGGCAAAAGGCGTGGACGAACTCGTCAACCACGTACTGTCCGAAGTTGCGCTCACCGGCGTGCAAGGTACGCATGACTCGCGCCAACTTTTTTTGCTTTTCCGCCTTGTTTTTCTCTATGTCAGATTGCTCTGTTTTCTCCTCAAACAACGATTTTTCTACAAGTGTTTCGAGCCAAGATGGGTGGTTGCTGTTCTCAAGTAACACCAAACCCCGCTATCGCCTAATCTAGCATTCGAGTCCCATCTTGTGCACTTCTTTTTCTTACATGAGTGCAAACCTAACTCATCGACTACAGGGGCTGGCAGCGCCGACTTCAAGCGATTCGTGCAAGCTTTCTACGAGAAGTCTCAGCGTGAAGATGGATCTAGCTTACATCCTCACCCCGGTCAGCTGGGTCTTACCTTCTATGAAAGAGTCTGGCACTGGGTGATCAGCCATGCAGACCTCCGCATCACCCACAATGGAGTTACACGCCAATATACCCTTGCCGAGTTTGAAGTAGCAGAGACGCCAGAAGCACCTTCAGCTACTACTGCGCCTGCAGCTCGGCCTGTGCATTCTACCGCCACCGTGAACCAGATGCCAGGTCCTGCGAAGTCCCTCTTAGCACTGCGAGAATCTATGCGACAGCAACTGGCTAAAGAAGGGCTCGGTCCGCAAGCGACCACTGCACTTACGTCTTCAAATGGCAAGAAGTCTTCATCGTCACATGACGCGATATTTGAAGGGCACACCAACGCCGACTCATCACAGCATGTCTTTCGTGGACCTCGTGTCCTAGCGACTACAGCAAATGATGTCGAGATGGTTTTTGACGATCCTCCAACCAACACCGTCGCACCGCGCCTATATGCAAGTCAAAGTCGCATCTGGCAGGCATTGACAGGACACGGCATCGACCTGAAGAAGGTTCCCACGATGGAGTTTGTTCTGTTATCCCTTATCGCCTCACATGGAGCAGCTGGAGTCACGCAGCCGGACCTTACAGTCATGAGTGGACAGGACAAGCGTTCAGTGCCGCACAGGACCGATGAACTCTGCCGTAAGGGTTACATCGAGAAACGACCTGTACAATCAGGCAAGCTGCGGACTAGTCTTTGCGTCCATAAGAAGTTCGTTTCTGACGACCACTTCTTGACCTCTGGGAAGGTCGAGGATGTGTTTCAATACAAGAAGTTCGTGTTGTCTGGTTTTGTGCACCTGCTTTATAATACTCTGAAGGATGCAGGTGTTGTTCCGACAAGAGATATTCGGACGCGACTGGTAAGCCTAACTTCTCTAACCCTCGGTCCAAGTGCTGACAAGAAACAGAACGTACCGATGGCGACCTGGAACAAGCGAGCGGTGCAGGGTGCACTCATCCGCCTTGATCAGACCGGCATGGTCAAGCGTTTCAGAGCCCGCAGGAAAGATTCCGAAGACAACTGGCTCACTTGCATCGAAGTCCTGCGAGAACCCCGCCCAGAAGACCACGAAAACTTGAAGTTCCGACGTCAGGCTCCTGTGGACGAGGCCGCCGATGAGCAGTCAGACGAGGATATTGACGGCGATACATTAATGCGAGACCTTGAGGTTGACATGCTCAATGGCGACTTTCAAGAGACTGATGGCGGCAAAGAAGACTCTGGCCGTATTCCGCCACAGTGGGTCCCTGAACGCCTACTTTCCAACATATTATACGAGGCGGTTGTGATGGGTGGATCAGAAGGTTGGGATACCGGAGTGCTACGCGACCGGATTGTGGGCAAGTTCTGGCGGCGTCCTATGGAGTCCTACCTCACACGTCTGACAGACGATTGGGAGGCGACGCAACCTGCTCATCTTCGACACCTTGCAATCATCAGAGACACACGCAACACACAAGAGAAGAAGTTCGTGCATTACGTCTACCGCACGTATGACAACTTCCAGAAAGCTGTAGATGCAGGTGAAGTAATCTGGGCAGGAGTGAGCAAGCCTGCGCCAAAGCAGTTGTCCGCAGCCAAGGGAGGCCGGCCGAAGAAGTGTGCGCCCGACGAACCATCTGTCGATCCTTGGGGCTTCCGCACACTCAGCTCGAAAGATTTTCTAAATAAAGATGGCTCAGGATCACTCACAGAGTGTCGCACAGCCATCGTTCACGGTCGGAAATATGGCCCGCGTTGGGACAACTCACTCGTGGACGACATCGGCTACAAGAAGATCGAGGCACCCAAGTCGGAGAGGATTAGGTGGACGAACGACATGTCACGCTCAAAGGCTAAATCTAAAGCTAGGTTGAACCTGCCCTCGCTCGTTACACCGAGGGTTGAGGGCAGTCCCTTGACACCCAGTCCACAAAGTCTGGTCACCGATGCGGATACTGACAGTGAGAACGGAACGCATGTGGTCGCGTCGAAAGTCATGAGTCTGCCAAAGCGGAAGTATGAAGCGGGCCTACTCACAATAGAACAGAGGATTGCACTAGGACTGAAGTCGAAAGGTCGTCTCAGCAAGTTCGTTGAAGACCAGGTTCGAGAGCATCGCAAGCGGACAGGCGATCCAGTATCGATTCCAGACTCAATCGAGCTTGAACGACCAGTTGGAGTGTCTGCCCCTGCCAAAAATGGCCCTCTCATGACCAAAGAGGAGCGGATTGCTGCAGGTCTGTCTGCACGAGGTCGCTTGGGTCAAAAGTTGGAGGACCAGATTCGAGAACAGCGTGGACTACCAAAGAGTGTAGAAAAAGTGAAGAAGCCGCGAAAAAACAAACCAGCCAATGAGCCAGCTCTGTTGAGCAAAGAACAGAGAATTAAGTTCGGCATCATACCTTACGGTCGATTACCGCAGTCACTGATAGAAGGACTGCGTGAGGAGCGCGACTTCGAGATCTCTTTGGAGCAGTCCAAGGTCATCCAAGCGTATCTGAGTGCTGTAAACGACAAGAAAGCCAAGGCAGAAATCACAAGAGCGATTGATGAAGTTAGGGAACAGACGTTGCAGCAGCATGATCCCACCCGAGGACTGGACCAGACTGACGCTGATACACCTGTTCCAGCCGAGGATGACGGGCCAGTGGAGGTTGCGTCAAGGACGATTACGCCAAACGTCGAAAAGCGGAAAGTCGTTGGCGATACAACGGCCTCGCAACCTCCTAAGAGAGTACGCGTTGAGAGAGACGCCTCGGCCGAAGAGGTCGGCGCGACTATGCCAACACCACCATTAACTACGTCGGCTGACGCTAACGAGCTAGTCCAGGAAGGAACAGAGCAGGGCGACTCAATAATGGCTGGTGCTGAAGATGAGGTCGAGCCTGTGGTGACCGGTTCTCCACATCAGTCGAGTCACAAGGCAACTACACCGCTCCGGGAAGCCTCTCCTCTGATCGACCTGGCTGAGGTAGATGCAAAGGTCCGCTTGATCAGAGAGACCTACAGCAGACGCTCTGCTCCCGGCCTCTACGTGAATCCGTTCGCAAAGCGCAAGATTGGTCAAGGCCGACCGCGTAACGCCTTCATTGCGACGTTCCGACTGGAAAGACTGGCCACTATTGAGTGGTTCACGGAAGACGCAACGAATGGTGACAATCAACCATCTCCACGTCGTACTGTTGCGTCTCCTGTCGCAAAAGGGGAGGTTGGCGTGGGAGACCAGAGCGCAGGAAATGGATTTGAAAACGACAACACAGCAAGTCGTTCGAAGTCTGCAATTGATGTCAGAACGACGTCCGACGCAGGTTCACCTGCTTCCGGCACAGACTCCGTTCCACCAGTACGACGATCTCCAATACAAGGCAACGGCACGGTTGTCCCTGAGCAGCCTGGTGATCAAACAACACCTAGTCGATTCCATATTGCCCGCGATACACCAACTGACGGCGAACGTACCGAGGCCATCTCAGAGCAAGGCCTGAACAGTGCACAAATCATGCAACAACACGCTCGCCCGGTAGCCGGCTGGAACGCTATCAACAAGCCAACACAACCTCCACCTACATATCAGAGTCCCTATGCACCTTCAGATCCTCCAGGACCTGCACTTGTTGACAAATCGCTTCCTGAAGACGACGTAGCTGAACGAGCCACGCAAGACAGTGCGGATGAATCCCAGATCCAAGGTGTCTGTGGCCCTATCACCGAAGTTGACATGATGAGTCGAAGCGCAAGAAAGCTTGCAGCGTACATGGGCACCAAGACGGGTGGAGGAAGCCAGAAGATGTTTCGTCACAAGGTCATCATGCAGATCATCGACCTATGCAATGGTGCCTACCCCATGCATGGAGAAATCGGGCGACCGTTTGTCACACTTTGGAAACAACAGTATCCCAGCGTTCCTCCTCCGAACTCGAGTACCGTACTTTCCAACCTAAGGGATATGATTGCGGATCCTCGCAATGGGCTCAAAAAGTTCAGCTTCCTGATAAGGCTTCGACAAAGTGCGGGATTGAAGAAGAAGGACATGGTCGTGTACCACCATCTGACCCCAACGAGCCCGCAAGTCACGCGGCTGGCGTACAAGATGGCCAACTACTCAAGCACTAAAGCACATCAGTACTACCCTGAGGAGATTCGTCACTTGGTGTCCGACGAGTCGTTCTATGTGCCAATGCTTGTTGCGCCCAAGGATGAGACTGTTAGTCTGGAGCGACTTAACCCTAGTCTTCAGCACAAGATCAAAGAAGCCAACCTTGAGCGGCGGAGGCGATACTATCACAAGCAGAAGAACGAGGAGTCTGCTCGTGACGCACAAAATGCAGGAGTGGAGGCTCCACTCAAGCAAGCTGCGAGAATGGACGGACAGCCGCGCGCAAAACGTACACGACTCGCAAGTCTAAACGACAAGAACAAGCGATACCGCCGTGCTCCACTATCGAATACTTCTACTGGTCCTATGGATCCTGAGCTCGAGGAGAGCATCGCTGAGGAAGATCCACCGCCAGAGGACGCACGTGAGCGTGGTCAGGCCTTGACATGGAAGGAGCCTTGGGTAGCTCCTGTTGTGCGTCACGATACTACGCTTCCGTTGCCAGAGCCAGAGACGCATGCCCAAGCAGTTCAAAAAAACACACTGGCCGAATACTACGCCTCTTCCATCACTGCACCAATTGTCCGCTTCTATGCCACAAACGGCACTTTCTCTACGGAATTTGGCCTCATTCGTGCAACCGACCTACTCAGCATGCCGCCACCAGAGAAGGTTGTCACCGAGGCAGTCACCAAGTCAAAGGGTAAGAAGCGAGTCAGAATCATTGAGCCTGCTTCCCAACGTCCCAACAAGAAGGCTCGCGTTAGTAAAGTCGGACCCACATCCGTTGTCGAACCGAATATCATCATTAGCTCGAGTGAAGAGAGCGAGGACTCTTACTCGTCTTCTATGTCTTCACTATCTGAAGAAGATGAAGACGATATTCCCCTCATGCAACCGAGCAAGCCTCAAGCCAAAGCGAAGGCTAAGGCCAAGGCCAAAGCCAAATCTAAAGCGAAGGCGAAAGCGAAGCAGGGGCGCAGTAAAAAAGATCCACCTCCTACGCTGCTCGAGCGTCTTACTGGACTTACTGGCGATCCAAATGACCCTATCTACCTTCCGCCGAAGCCGAGGGCGCAATCACAGAAGACATACCAAGGCTGGAGTGAGAGGAAGAAGGCCCGGTTCAACAAGCAGCAACGAGAACGCAAGTATGCAGAGAGCCAAGATCCCGTCGACAAGTTCAAGAAGCTTTGCTGCACGTTGGTTATTGCCTCTTCCATGGCTGGAGGAAATGGGCGCGTTGATTGGAGCATCGTCGAGAAGGTGCACAATACCAAAGGCTTTGATCTCGCAAAGACGAAAACCCTTTGGGTTTGGATGCAAACAAGCATGGCTCCTCAAATCATCGAACTGACAGCTGACTTCGAGACTCGCTTCCTAGAAGCGTACGAGAACAATAGGATTGCAGCCATCGATGATCCAGCAACGTATGATTGGGAAAATCTCGTGAGATGGGCAATGCACACTTGTGTCTACCCTGAGCTCTCCCTACCTGTATATCGGGAAGCGCTCCAGCAGTTCATTGTCGACCTGTCCAGCTTCGAGGCTTTGGACCGGCCCAAGTGGTACCGCGAGAGGATCGCAGACAGAGTGCGCACACAGCTACAGCTGCAGTATCCCTTCACTGCTCCTTTGCATCAGTCTCACGCGGCGCGATTGTCTGTTAGCGAAACAGAGCTCAAGGCTCGATCATGGATCCGCGCAAACACAGCAACACCCCAAGCCCTCTACGACAGCAAGATAGCACATGAGAAACTCAAGATACTGGGTGACCCAATTCTTGCGAAGGTCGTGGGCGAGTACGTGGACCGACAAATGCTGCGGATGCGCAAACTCAAGCGCCTCTTACCCGGCAGAAACTACACCTTTACGGCGAGGCTCGCGAAGAAGTATGGACGTACTTTCGAGCTTAGCGACTTCATGGCTGCTGTCAAGATCAAGAAGGACATGGACGCTGCTTTTGTACAAGAAGATCCAGAGAAGCGCATCAGTTCCATCTCCCGCGTCGAACCCGATGGAGCCATCATGGCAATCATGTCGTTGCTCTGCGAGGGCAAAGTCAAGTTTGCTCCACAGGTCCCGTCCGTCAACAATGAGTTTGGTGCTCCATTGCCGCGCTTGTCTGTGTGGGGCTTCATGGAAGGCGACTACGTGCACCGCGGAATCGACAGGCAGCGTTTGTTTTGGGACATTCATGTTGTTCCCACTGAAACATATGACTACGGAAACCCCCTGCAACCAGCGTCCGGACCGCCGCCTAGCAGTAAAGCAAACAGCGTCGCGGTTTGGTCGCCGCTCCCTCAACCACCGCTGCCAGGCAAACATGACTCGAGTGCTCTACTGCCAATCTGGAGCAGCATGGATGGGCAGAATGTCACCTGGCCATGGTGGTACCGCATTCTGAACCTCGTGTTGCAGCCCCTCATCTTCCAACCAGGCGCGACAGTCGAAGACATCCACGCCAACTGCGGCGAGTACACAACGGAGATTTTCGAAATCGAGCTTGTCCTGCAATGGCTCGTATCCGTCAATGCAGTCAAGAAGACCATTGGTGGTGGCTATGTTACTCTGCCTGGTGTGTGGGCCGCATTTGGTGACGTTCTGCACGACATGGAAGACGACTGGCTGAACGCACACGTCAAACGCAAACATCAGAAGCATGAGAAGCAAAAATGGCGTGAGAAATACCATCTGAGATACTCGACGCTGCAAGGCCACAATGCTCAGCGATCTCCAAGTGACGACTCTGACGAGTCTGACACGCAATCGGACGAACTCGAGGAGACGACTAGCACAAGCCAAAATATCATGCGTCATCCGAAGGAGCAGTATGCGATTGTGCGGGAGCAGATTGCCACTGCGGCGCCAGAGGCGCCCACTGCCAGTCGATCTGAAGAGGTCGTAGAGCAAACAACACAACTTGCCGCTGCGTCGGAAGTCGAAGCAAGCGAAGCGCAAACATCTGAGGCCATCGCCATCCCGGACCAGGATGTCAAGATACAGGACGCAAACGGAGCTGACGAGGTGGATGCAGAGGGGGAAATGGAGGTTTGATCGAGTGTATGCGTTGAGGCTGACGTGCGTTACGTTATGCAAGTTTGGCAACCATTGGCATCGATAGACTGCATGCATAAGCTGCAGCACTCACAAAGCCACGTAAAATAGAAAATTTAAATAACAATCAAATCTTCGAAATACAGGTCGGGATGGCATGCAACCTTGCGTGAGTTGTGGTCATAAAAACGAGGTTTGTGTTGCTCAAACTGGTGATCCTGCAACTAGCCTGCAGCAACCGCCGCACACAACAGATGCTTGACAAGTCAAACATGCAACACCTTGCAGTCAATGCACACCATGCTAACAAGATACGCAAACGGAGTGCGAAACGCAGAGACTATGTGGCGTAGAGCAATATATCTACCGCACATCTCGCTGTCCTCATATCAACACCACACTCGTATATACTACCCTCCTCACCGTGGCGTGCTCAACTCACTAACATTCTCCGGCCATTCACAATTAAGATGTTGGTGCGTTGAGTAGGTCTGTATAATTTCTACATCCCTCCGATCATACAACTACCTTCGCTCTCAGCATCCGTCCCTCACACTTCCGTATCCGCCTTCTTTTTACTATATACTACAACACCAACTTACACACCGACTCCTGCATGCGAAGCAATGAAACGAAAATCAACAAGGCATGGCAGTGCACTGACCGACGGTTCGAAGAAAAGCAAGGATAAGATCTTTGCGGCATCGTACGCCCTTATTTCTCGAGAGCCATGGACTCGACCACCATATCTCTACCGTCATTCAAGACACCTAGCCTGATACGCGGTCAAAATCACTATATCAACGACTGGTCCAAACACGACATGATTTCGCCACTAGAACCTGTGCCAAAGACGAGTCGTGTCTTTGCTCTCCCCTCCATGAGAACAACGACATGGGAGCTTCCCAGAATCCATCACGTACTTCCAGTCCATGCTCGAAGCTTTGTGTGGATCCTCTTCCACGCCTCTCCACCATTCTTGCACACTTCCGCCCCATGCCTGCAAATCAGGCAAACCACCCTTCCATGTTCGACTGCCCGCGGCACTCGTCACCTTACCGGCACCTGCCTAGTCAAACGATGGGAAGCATCTACCGAAGACTTGGCCCTTCCTAGTTCTGCCCAGACATTAGAGGACAGGCTTGAGCTGGCACTGAACGGACTCAACCACGAACTCGAAGTCGCAACTTGATTGTCATACACTGTATATACACCCCCTTTCACTGCGGCCTGGTCAACGTATCACTAGCCGCTCTCCGTGGGTCGTATGTTGGTGTTTTGTAAGGGTATATATATGTGATAGCGAGCTCAGCAGCAGTAGGGGGGTTTGCATTGTAAGATTAATTGCTGCCGTCCACGAGCGCAAACAGTGGGAGCAGGCGTGCCACCAGTGGATCGCCGATGTCGAAGCAACTGAGCGTGGTCTTTCCAAGCGCGGTGGTACCCACAAGCCCAGGGGTGACAAGATCCAACTCTTGCAGGTGGATGCCACCAACAGGCTGGCTACGGCTGTGGAGGGCATCCTTGATGTTCTCTGTGCTCAAGTAGGTTTTCCCTTTTTATTTTGGTGTTTCACCATTGTTCTAACAGCATTCAGGCTGGGTACAAGCCACTTGGCAAGCTTGATGCGCTGACCGTTCTCACTCCTCATCACGGCAAGGACTCGTCCTTTTCTATAAAAATAGGGTAACAACCTCAAGATAGGACAAATGTAATCCTCTAAGGAGGTAAGGCTTCAGGCAGGGCAGTGGTATTATGAGGGGAGTGCGCTTGCTAAGCAAGAGCAAGGCCTGATGGCCCAAGCTGAAACCTGCCAATGCCATCTGAGGCCTGGCAGAGCCTCTCAAGGCCTGGCCTATGAAGGGCAGTTGTGACAAAGCTGTCAAGACTCAGGTCCAGCCCACTGAGCCAAGCAAGCCAAAAGGTATCATGGCTCACTCTAATGGTGAGCTCTAGCCAGAACAGTACTATATCATCAGCCAGGCCTGGCAACCTGCTGCCCTGCAAGCGGTGCTCAACCATGTCCAGACCTTGCCATCAGTTGGTCAAGGCTTCTCAGAGTCATCCAGGCCTTACTGGGTCCTGTTAACACCTTTTCAGGTCCCTGAGGACATGGTTGACAATGACATGGCATTTCTCAAGTTTGTCTGGGATGATGCTGTTACAAACACATACAGAAGAGAAGGAACTATTGGACCTGGGGACAATGGTTATTGAACATAGGGAGAATGGCCATTGGAGAAGCTGCGCCCATTGTACAAGCTAACCTGCGGCCACGTGAGTACACTAGGACAATACAAGTAGTCTAGCGTCCTATGGGACAGAAGCAAGCAAGCCATGGGATTCCCACACAGTCTCATGTATCCCATGGGACTTTGGGACAATGTCTCATAAGACAGTAAGATACTGTAGGACTCTGTACCATCATTCAAGTATATAGCATGTAAAGTACTAGAACGAAAGTTTGGTTGCAAATTCAGCTTGGGCCACAACACCACACAAACATGAAACTGCACATTGACTTCACAGCAGATTTACTCAGTAACCATGTCTCAATAGAGTCAAGCAGTTAGCAGCAATCGATTGCCAGGTCAGGAATTATCAACATGCCTTTGTGACAGTATTATAGCTGCCATAGAGGGTGGTGCAGGGACAGCTGAAGTTACTAAGCAATTTCAAACCTCAAAGCGCAATGTGCAGCGTATGCTTAAGCAATACTATGATACTGGCAGTAACATCAGCAGGCCTTGCAGCGGCCGGCCAACAATGTTAACACGTTGTCAACAACGTTTACTCCTTTGTATTGTGTCATCCTGACATGGCTTGCAGCCAATAACAATCCACCCAGCCACTCCTCATGGAACCTCATGGAACCTCATGGAACCTCATGGAACATCATGGAATCCCATGGAACAACACAGAATCTTCTGGTTGCTGACAAATGATTACAAATGATTACAAATGCCAATGTATCTAGAACATTCCAGGAGCCAGCAGTCTGTCTATAAAGGCAGCCTGCCCTCTTGCTCAGATAACTCATGCTTGCAATTTCAAACTCAATCCACTCCTTCAATTCACCTCAGCAACTCCTTCCTCAACTCACTCCTTACTGATCCTTTGTGGTATTCCCACACTTGGTCTCTTTCACACCCCTATCTCCAACAAGCCTGAACCTTCCTTCCACCAATCCTTCCATCTCAGAGAGCAGTTGGTATTCCCAGCTGGCCCCCTCTCACATCACTGTAGGCAGGCAATTGGACACAGTGTAACACCTACAACCGTATCCGCCCCAATACCAATGTGGTTCCTGCAGGTCTCAGCACACTGCTCCTTGTCTGTTGCAAACTACCTCCTTGTCACCTCAACAAGGGTACTTCTGATTCCCTTCCAAAAGGGATATTTAATTCCTCTGATACTGTAGTTTATGTAACGCCTACGACCAAAAGCACCCCAATAGTGGTGTGATTCCTGCAGGTTGCCGCACACCGCTCCTTTTTGGTTGCAAACTGCATCCTTGTCA